GCTTTCGTTAGACACGATCACAAAAGAAAACAATCAAGGATAACAAAGCGCACTGAGCCAACACTGTCCGGCCTGGAGTTTGCATCATAAACAGACCCAGGGATGGTCCGTGAGGCTCTGACTTGAACCACCGAACCACCGCCGTGCACCGCTCCCCTGCCCACCGCCTGCCCTTGGAATGTGCCGCTCCCTGGTAGCCGAGCTACAGAGCACAGAAGATTCGAAGCGTATAGATTTTCCTTTCAAATATGCTTGTTTCTATTTGTGTTTTTGTTTTTTATTTGGCTAGAGGATGTGAGGCGGAACCCCGCGAGTGGCATGGGCCCGACAGCAGTGAAGTGGGGTGGTGGGGAGCAGGCCTGCGGCTGGACATGGGAGGGTCCCAAGTCACATGGCAAATCAGGGCCCTGGGAGACACGTGGCCAAAGGCAATTGCATTGTGGATTGATCAACTTTTTCTAAATTGCAGGAGCGATGTGAAATCCCTCTGCTGTAATGACTCTGTGTCCTTGGGGGCCAAGTGTGTTCTGTGACATCACCTCCTTCCCTGCCCCAAACATGGCCTTTGCTCTGGTGACCCCAGAGTTCAGGCGTTCGGGAGCCAGATGAACACCCAGGGCCCTGAGAGTCCTGACAACAGCTGCTCCCCGACCCTCTGCACCTCTGGGTGCTCCCCACATGTTTCTTTCTCTCCCTTGAGAAAGGGAGGGGCCCTTCCCTCCTTTCCCCATGGCCCCGGTGGGTGGCCATTTTCTTGCTTGTTCTTGGTACCTCTGACGTGGAGGCAGTGGGGGTGTCCCCGCTCCTCACCACCACTACCGGACCGTCGCCCCTTTCTTCCTCTTCTGTCTCCAGACTTGCCACCCAGTCCTCTTCTTGGTGACATCAGACTTCAACCTCTGGGCCACTCCCTGTCTTTGAGATGTCAGCCACTGCATTAGTACTCTATTTTCTAACACTGCCCCTAGCACAAGTGTTGTAACCACGATATCGATCTGAGTGACCCTTCCGACCCCGAGGCCCCTCAATTCCCAGCCCTCTCCTCTTCCTCCAGAACTTGCCTTCCACTTTGAGCCAGCGAGTCCCTGGTCTCGTCATCACCAGTCACTAGAACCCCTCCAGATCTCGGCTCCGTCTCCTGCCATTATCTCCTGGATTTCCAGCTCTGTCCCTTCAATACCTCGGCCTAAGAGTTCTGTAGCCCCACTAGGTCCTATGATCCATCAATCCTACCTCCTTCTCACGGTCTTTCTTGCCCCTCACGCCTTCCCTTTCTTCCTTATGCAACTCAATTCCACGGCCAACCATCTTCAACTCCTCACAAACAACCTCAGGTCACCCATAGTCGCCTTTCTTTCAATTATATTCACCTGGCAATCCCCAACGCTACTGCACGGGTGCTGCGGCAGGCCGCGCACAGCTGGGGGCAGCACGCATTGTAATGACTGGCGTCAAACTGAGCTCACGACCACTAACCTGAGGTGGGCCACCGGCTCAACCCTGCAGTTCAAGTCCGTGTACCTGTCCATTCATTCTCTCGTTCTCTCAAGTGACCTCTTTTCAAAGTTCCAATATCTCTTTTCCACCTCCCCTCTCCACAGAAGGCTTTTATTGGTAAAACCAACGTGACCAGGAGAGCTCCACCATGAATTCACACACACTGTACTGTCTTTCCCCCCGTTACTGGTGAAGGGCTGCCCGTATTTCTGCCTCACGCCCCCTGCTCCACTCTGTCCCATCTCGCCTACTCAAGGACACCACTCCAGCATTTTCTGCTCCTTCATTCCTAGTTTTCTGTTCTATTCCAGAAAATGCACACCGGCAAACCATCCTGTGTTATTCCCCCTGTTAAAACAACAACGAACTCTTCAATCCTGGTCCCCTCCAGCTGCTGCCACATTCATCCGTCTTCTCTCAGTGACGTTTCCGGAGTTGCCCTGAGTCCTTCCTCCAGTCACTGCAGGCTATTTCTCCTGAGTCCACTCCACTGCGTCTTTCAAGTCCAATACCTCATGAAATTAATTTTGATCATTGACCTGTTAGTTTCAAATATAATACATATAATATATTTGAAAACATAATAAATATATTTAGACATAAGAGTCAATTCTCAGCCCACTTTTTTTACTTTTTTACATTAAATTCGTTGGCATGCCATTGGTTAATAAAATTGTATAGGTTTCAGGTATGTAATTTTATAATACATCATTTGCATGTTGCGTTGTGTGTTTACCACCCAAAGCCACGTTATTTCTGACTTATGAGCAGCTTTGATACAGTCCGTCATTCTGTCCTCCTCACAGCGCTTTCTCACCTGCCTGTCTTTTCTCCTACGTGGCTACTTGCTTTCGTCTGTTCTGCTGTCCCTCCTCGTCTCTCTGAACTCGAGACAACACAGTGTCCCAAGGCTCAATTCTCCAACAGCTTCTCGCTCTTCACTCACTCCTTAGGTGACTTCGCTTAGTCATAGCATTTAAACATGTCACCTATGTCCAAGGTCTGTCCAGAAGGTACCGGCCACGTAATATGAAAAATAGACACATTTACTGAAGATTCAAGAGATGAGAAACACTGTACATAGCACAGTGATGCCTCCGTCCCCTTCAGAGTAGGCACCTTGGGACCTTGCACGGTTCTCCCAATCTCCATCAGCTGCCCCGTCGTATTTTCCTGAATCTCATCGATGGTCTGAAATTTCTTCCCTTTCAAAGGTGATTTTAATTTTGGGAAAAGCCAGAAGTTGCAGGATGCCAAGTCTGGGCTACAGGGGGGCTGAGTCACCTGGGTGATTTGATGTTTTGCAAAAAAACTCTGCACAAGACAGGATGCATGAGTGGGTGTGTGATCATTATGAAGCTGCCAATCACCAGTAGCCCATAGCTGCGGCCTTCTGCATCACCCGAACAGTTTCTGTGGATGAATGGTCAAGCTTAATGCAAAACATGATGCAGATTCGTTACTGTATTTACTCAGTCATTTTGAATGTGATGGCCCCATGGTACACATGGTCACTCAACTGCGTCTACTGCTCCCACTGACTAGTACAGTGAGGTCGTCATTGTTCACACATGTGACTCACACACGTGTGAGTCACTCCCCTTGGCTGCCAGGCTACATCAATGTCTCACAGATCATTCCCGTTATATTAACAATGGCGGACTTTTTCCACACAGACCTCGTATTGTCTAGCCCAATCTTCTCTCCTGAACACCACACTTACATATCCAACTGCTTACTTGACATCATACTTAGAATTCCAAAAGGCATCTCAAATCTGTTTTGAAAATCAAACTCTCTTGATTGTGCTATGCCATAGGCTTTGTTATGGATGTCAGTGGCAACTCCATCCTGCCATTCACTTGGCCAAAACCACCGCAGTCATCTGTGGCATCTCTCACGTTCCACATCTAATCCCTCTACTTTCAGAATACACACAGAACGCAGCCACTTCCCCACCTCCATGGTCACACTACTGTCATCTCATTCTTGGATTATTGCAACAAACTCCTGAGCGCTCTGCTTTTACCCTTTTCCTTCATTCTATCTACTCTCAGCTCAGAAACAGAAATAGTTGTTAAAAACATAAGCCCAAATAAGTCACTCCTGTATACAAACCCTCCAGCGGCATCTCGCGTCAGTCAGAATGAAGGGAGGCCACGCTCGCGTTCCTCCTACCCCTCCCTGTGGCACCTCCACGGCTGCCTCGGGCTTTCACTTGGACCTCTTTGCCCCAGACCTCCCCCCATGGGTGGCACCCACCCGGACCAGATACTTAAATCAGTGTGAGCTCCTTCAGGCCTTCTCTGACTCCATATTCTGCACCTGTCCCCTCCCGTCCTCATAGGCCCTACTCATTTCCCTCTCTGGAATTTTTACCCGGAGTACTCATCACAGCTTGGTTCTGTGTTAACTATTTGTGTGTACGTTTTCTGTTCCCCTTTCTCCCAAACAATCCCCTTCAGGGGCCAGTCTCCGTCTGTACTCTCAGCAACTCCTCCTGTGCAAATGTAAGTTATATGCAGTAGTTGTCTCTTTGCCTAGAAAATAAAATTGATGTTCTGCCTCTTGATATAGATAACATATTCTTTTGTATAATTAAATACAATGTTTCCTTTAAGCTTCAGGGGGGCCTCTGTTACTACATAGCAGTTGGAAATTTGCTAAACGAAAAGGAGAACAGAAATACCATTGCTGATACACAAGGTACAAGTGCAAGTCGGGAGTCTGGTGACTTGGGATCTTGACCTGGCCTTGGCACTCACTGGTTCTGTAACCGACCAGCCATTCAACCGCGGCAGCCACCTGTCTCATTCGTAGGGCTTCCTGGTTTCCTAGGCTCACGTTTCATGCTGAAGGAATTTGCACTTTTGCCTACTCAACATCTAATATAAAAACAAAAATTTAAAAACCTTTGGTTCAAATTTCAGGATACTTCCATGTTTATTGAAAACACTGACATACTCTAAAACAAGTCAAAAGAAAGGAATCGGGGAAATTGTTTTTCTCATCCACACTATGCAGATTTAACTTAAGTTCGCAGACGAGACGAGCAAACTCAACACCTCTTTCCTAGGCCCTTCACATCCATTTCAGGTCTTGGGGGCAGATGCACTTCGGAGCTTAGAACTTTTAATATTTTATACAGATAAAAAGTAAAATATAGAAAGTGCATGTAAGTGACATAACAATGAGTCTGGTGGCCAGGACAGGCCCTGTGGGCAAACACGTCAGTGTTTACACGGAGCAAAGCGATGAGTGACCATAGTAAGTGACCTACGTAACACACCTCGATGGCCTTTCTTTAAGTCACATCGAATTTTGCCAAAAATATTGAATACGTATGGTATTTAGCCACTAAATGTGCCACAAAAACTTTCCGTTTCCAATTCTTTATGGAGTTTGGAATTTCAGACAAGAGGTTGCAGATCCGTCTGAATGATCGCTAGTCCATCAGAAAACAAGTACTGTTCGGGCAAGTTACCAACTAGACCAGCCTTTACCTCCTCCGCACGTGGTGTCACAGTCTCCCCAGCCCGTGTGTGTCCACATGAACAGCGGTTCAGGGGCTCTGGCGCTCTGGTTCTCGGCCGGGGGCGCAGAGGGGACAGTGTATTCGTAGTGAAGGCCGTAGGTCTGGTCTTGAAACAGCAGCACCTGCAATGTGACACATGAGAGGGGTGAAGGCAGGTGCGTCGGAGGGGAGCACGCTCAGTGGAAGCTCGGACCCAAGGTCCTCGTAGCCAAAAGTGACTATTGCATAGTATACGCACTTCTTTAATAAACAGTAGAAATGTGAAATTATTGCTTCAGTGCTGTCAGTCTCATACTCCTGAACAGGTACAAGCTCCACACTTAGCTCTGAGCTAAAGGCACCATGAAGAAAAGACCACTTGAATGATGTCAGAGACGCTAGATCATCGGCTTTCGAGTCCATGGACTTGCGTGCGTATCCTCTCTGACATCAAGCTGTATCACACACGTTAATATCGAAGGTAGCCTTTTGATTCATATAAAATAGAAAGATGACTAGAAAGTCCCTGTATCGACAAGGGAAGAGGACAGAAGACTCTGGAATTCCTTTCACTCCAAAGCCAGCTAGAGGAGAAGAATTTCATTCTATGTAGACGTACAGTTAATTTTGAATTTTGTCAAAAGTTTAACTTAGTAATAGCACAGTTATGGGCACACATGTGAATGGTGCAGTCAACTATAAAGGGTGCATGAAGACACGAGAATGCCCGGGTTTGGGGCGACACCGGACACAGGCAGGGAGGCCGTCTGATTTGTTCTCCCCGGTATCCTGTTCCAGGCCCAAAACTGGTCATGGGCAATCGTTCGTATTTTAAATGAAGAAAAATACCTGAAATATACTCATCTTAAAAAACGAAAGAGTAAACTTGTGTTTCTTTACGAAACATTTGCACAAACTATGTTGGACGACTCCATGGGACCCGTCACTTCTGTGACCCGAGGGTGTACGGAAGCCGTCTAGACAATACACCATGACGCACAGAAGCATAGACGTCCATCTGGAAAACGTCCAGCCATTGTTAACACTCATACATCCCCCCATTCAGTGGCTTGTCTTTTCACTCTGTTGATGGTTTCCTTGGCTAAGCAAACACATTTTAGTTTGACGTAGTCCTATTGGTTTATTTCTCGCTTGTTTCTCCTACCTGAGGACGTAAATCAAAACAAATGTTGCTACCACAGTATGTGAGAATTTTCTGCCATGTTTGCTTCTAGGATTTTTACAGTTACAAATCTAACATTTAAATCTTTAATCCATTTTGAGTTGATTCTCATGAATGGGGTAAGAAGGTAGTTTAATTTCATTTTTTTTGGACGTAACTGTCCAATTTCTCCAACACCATGTATTAAATAGACTATCTTCACCCTGTTGTGTCTGTGCCTCTTTTGTCAAATATTAATTGCCCGTAAAGGCATGGGCTTATTTCCGGGCTCTCTATTCAGTGCCATTGATCTATCCACCTGTTTTTATGCCAGTCCCATGCTGTTTTGATGACTATGGCCTTGTAGTATGGTTTAATGTCAGGCAGCGTGAACCCTCCTCCAACTTTGTTCTTCTTTCTCAAGATTGCTATGGCTGTTTGGAGTCTCTCGTGGTTCCATATACATTTTAAAAATATTTGTTCTAACTCTGTGAAATGTGCCATTGGTATCTTGAAAGGAATTGCATTGAATTTGTAGATTGCTTTGGATAGTATGCCCATTTTAATGATGTTAATTCTTCCTATCCATGAACGTGGTATGTGCTTTCACTTATTTGTATCTTCTTCAATTTCTTGCTTCAGTGTCTTATAGTTTTTCTAGTATAGGTCTTTTATATCCTTGGTTAAATTGAGTCCTAGGTATTTTATTCTTTTGGAAGCAATTGCCGGTGAGATCGTTTTCGTAGTTTTTCTTTCCAATAGCTCATTATTGGTGTATAAAAATGCAACTGGTTTCTGCATATTTATTTTGCATCCTTCTACTTTACTGCACTCATTTATCAGTTCTAGTAGCTTTTTGGTGGACTCCTTAGGGCTCTCTCTGTACAGTACCACATCCTCTGCAGGCAATGACAGTTTTATTTCTTCCTTCCCAATTGGGATGCGTCTTTTTCCCTCTTCTTGTGTGAGTGCTGTGGGTCGGACTTCCAGTACTGTGTTGAATAAGAGAGGTGAAAGCGGACATCCCCGTCTTGTTCCTGACCTTAAAGGACATGCTTGCAGTTTTTGCCCGTGAGTATGATGTTGGCTGTGGTTTGTCGTGGATGGGCCATAATTATTAGTTAAGGTATGAACCCTCTATTCCCACTTCGCTGAGGAGTTTTATTATAAGTCAGTGCTAGATTTCATCAAGTGTTTTTTCTGCATCTACTGATATAATCATGTGGTTTTTCTCCTTCATTTTGTTTATGTGGTGAATCCCATTTATTGATTTGTGGGTGTTGTACCAACCTGGCATTCCCAGAATAAATCCCACTTGATTGTGGTGTATATTCTTTTTAATGTATTCCTGGATCTGGTTTGCTAATGTTTTGTTGAGGATTTTAGCATCTGTGTTTGTCAGGGTTGTTGGCCTATAATTTTCTTTCTTTGTAGTGTCTTTATCTGGTTTTGGAATCAGGATCATGCTGACCTCATAAAATGAGCTTGGGAGTCTTCTCTCCTCTTGAATTTTTTTGGAATAGTTTGAGAAGAATAGGTGCTAGTTCTCTTTGAATGTTTGTAAAATTCACCTGCGAAACCATCCAGTCCAGGCCTTTGGTTTGCTGGGAGCTTTCTGATTGCTGCTTCAATTTCACCGGCTGTGATCAGTCTATTCAGATGCTGCTGCTTCTTGACTCCATTTTGGAAGATTGCATATTTCTAGGAAAACTTACCCAGGTCTTTCAGGCTGTCCAAGTTGTTGGCATGTATTTGTTTGTATTATTTTCCCACAATCCTCTGTACTTCTGGGGGTCAGTTGTTATGCTCTCTCATTTCTGATTTTACTTATTTGGGTCCTCTCTTTTTCTGGATGAGTCTGGTTATCACATAGCTTTTCAACTGATGAAGCAAACATAAAGAACAGCTACTTGCCAACTTATCTAACTAAATAAAAACCTGTTGATCTTTCATTGATAGGACTTCAGATTGTCCTTGAATGAATAATGCCCTTTAAAATAGATGCCCCGGCTACAACACCACCAGCCCCTCCCGAAACCATCTGAAGTTGGCCGCGGGATTTTGCAGGAAGGAAAGTGTGACGGCCTCACAGTGCAGGGGCAGAGGCTGTGGCACGGCAGAGGCACTGCCTTTCACAGTGCAGTTCAGGCCCTCGGTCTGCAATAGTCATTAAGGAAAAACATCTTAGAAGTGCAGTTTCCCTTGGATTACTGAATAAATCCAGGTCACACAGATGCCTGCTTTTAGACATAGTTCACTCACTTTAATTATGTGTCAGGCTTCCAGGAAAAACCTCAGTAACTACCAATCGGATTAAGAATTCTGCAGCGAGGGAAGCCCTTCTGCCCAGCACTGAGGCCTCGCATCGACTGCTCTGAGATTTGGAATTAGAGGCTCAGTGGAAGAGCTTGGGTCTCGTCCCATAAAAAATGTGGGCCACCTGATGGCATTTCCTGCCACTCAGTCATTAAAAATGTTGGTTGCTGGGGGTGTGGTCATTTTAGGCAGCCCTGGGGTGAGCGCTTCCTAAGGTACATAAACATCTAACCACTACGTTGCACCCCTGAAACTGACGTGATAGTGTATGCCAACTGTAACCGAAAAGCAAATTGAAAAAAACAAGTGGCCCAGCCGTGGAAAGAGCCAGACACTGGGCATACGATGTTTGTTTTGTCACTTTCTTCTCCCTCTCCAGATGGCGCCCAGCACAGGGTGAAGTTTCCCGTTCAAGTGGAATAACAGGATCCAAAGAAATAGTGGGGAGACGAACAAATAGTCATTCCAAGAACACACACTAGTGTTCCACGGCTGTTGTGAAGAGCTTAGGTCTGAGCTTCACATCAGAGGAGGCACCGTAGTGGACTGATTAACACCCAATTTATTCTCAGCTGAATGACTTACTGGGGGACCCTGCACGTTCCTGAACCTCTCCAGGATCAGCTGTTCAGTACAATGGAGTGACAATAACACCTGTGACAGTGTCTCTGTGAGGACTGAATGCTGTAATGAACATGAAGCACTTTGGAGAGTGTGTGACGCAGTGCTCAGTGAACGGTAGTTGTCATCATCAGCAGCAGCAGCAAGATTTGGAACAGTGGTCCTCCCACAACTCTCCTTGATCCCTTAATCCGTGGATGAAACCTCTTGATTGAAATCGGAAAAAACATTGTTATGTTAAATGCGGCCCCTGGAGGGGCAGTGGGGTATCTACTGGGAGCCTGCGAGAAGTGCAGACCTCAGGTTCCTCCCCAGACCAAGCGGATCATAGCGTGCACTTGAACAAGAACCCCAGGCACATTGCCGGCACATGAAAGTAGGAAAAGCAAATGGGCCAGTGTGTGATCTGAACCTCCAACGCCTCGTCTAGCAACACAGATGTCTCCAATTGAAGGCAAATTCAGCTTCAATCGTGTGGCGATGTTAAATAACGTGGCACACCACAGTCCAAATAAACAGTCAGTCGATCGTGGTTGAAAGTTGTTTCTGCATGTGGACTTAAAGAGGTGTTGACATGCCTGCATTTTAGACTTTGTCACCAGGACGGAAAACAGGCCAGCTCTGCAGTCAGTCCTCTGGCTCCTAAGCCGTTCCCACTGACTGCAGTGATGCAGGTCACAGAGGGCATTTGAATTTGCCACCAGCTTGGGCACAGGGCCCCAGGGTCCCGCTTCTTTCACTCCAAACTCTGTCCTGCCTCACACCTGGTCTTGGATCACATGGCAGAGAAACCTGCCCCAGACATTCCAAATTTTGTAATTCTGTACAGGAATCAATTAACCTAGTATGAAAACAGAACAGAGTAACTGAAGGCACTGTTGGACATAGTCACAAAATCTTTTCCCCAGGAACAGTCTCATTTTTTCGAAGGCATTTTATACCGATTGGGACGAGGCCCATTTCCCGGATGTGTAAAAGGTGATGATTCACCGCAACACAGCACTCTCCCTGCAGACGTCCACTCTGGTCAGCAGATGCATGCTTTTGGGAAAAAGAGGTTTCTGGTCGGTTGCTTGTAATTCACCTCTACTTTGAGTCCGTGGGCCCCTCATAAAATTTGGTTCCTATTGTAATAATGTCTGTTTTTATACATCACGATTGAAAACATATTTTTAAAAAATCCCTAAAAGCCCGTCTCTTCAATGATGTTAAAAGTCTACCTGACATTTCAAATTCAGAAAAAAAGGTTAGAGAGGGAGAGGCGGGAACGCCCTCTGCCACAGGGACTGACTACTCAAGGTCATCAGCGACCCCCCTCGTACCAGGAGGTGCAAAGGTGAGGTGGTGGGGCCTCTGGCGGAGATCTTCTCCCAGAGGCCTCGTCTCACGTAGTGAACCGTAGTCCCCGCTAAGCTGAAGGCTCCGGAGTGTTCGATCTTCCAGTCGCTGTTGATGGACTGCTTCCCTGCATCTCGCAGCGCTGGAGAGGGTCAGAAAGGGGAGAGTTCGTCAGTAGGCAGCACTAATCAACACCCACTTTGCATGGCTTCATTAGAAGCATTTCCCTCGCTTCTGAACAAGCGGGTCAACTCCCTGTCCCAAAACGGGGGGGTGGGGGGGGGCAAAGGGCACGTCCTCGTTGGGGAAGTCGGAAAGCACAGCAAATGCCACAGGTGTTTATAATGTACTGCATGTAAAGTGTATGTGTCAGATAAAATCCTAAACATACGTATTTGTAGATTTATGAAGTATAAATATTAGTTTTACCCCAAATTTTAGACTCGAAATATATTGACAGAAAACTCTCACCACTTTGCAAATAGCTGTTACCCTCTATAAATGGTTATACTTCATGTAATGCTAAATTGATTAAAAATAACGATTTTTCCTAAAAGGTAGAGTATTTTATTTTATTTCTCTTCAAGTCTATTAAATATTTTGAGTAATTATTTTGGCCAGTGTAATTCCATTTTCTTCTTGTATTTCAACATATATTCAGGGCACAAGTATAAAGGGATATTTTTTGAAAAATCTCTAATAAAAAATGCCTGGAAAAGCTTTTTAAAAAATACCATATACCTAAATTATTTTTAAAGTTCAGTCATATAAATTTTGTTTTTTTAGTTACAGATTTAGGTTTTTAAATTGCTGGTATGTATACTATCTTATTTTGTGCTTTCTTTTTTTCTGTGGGATCTTTTTTTTTTTTTTTTTTGCTGTACATTTTTTTGCTTTCTTTCTTCTTCTTCTTTTTTTCTTTACATTTGCTATTTTTCCCTACTTTGTTTTCTATTGTTTTTAAATTTTTATTTTAAAAATTACATTTGGTTCTCTAAATGTGTTTAGTCAATTTATATCTATTCTTATTTTTAAATGCCTCATATATTTAAACATATTGATCATCTAGTTTTATATTTTCTACGTATGAGACAAATATGTCATGTTCATCTTGCCCTTATTTTTACTGTTTTGTGTATGGTGTCAATTTCCTTTTATGCTTTTTAATCATTTTATTTTACTATAACATTACATTTGTTGAACCTTACAGAATTCCTCTGAGGCCTGGTTGGAAGGCACGTTACTTCAGAAGAAGTTGCCTCCCCCTGTGCCAACCACCTCGGTAACCTTATTAAAAACCCTCTTTGGGTTTCAGACTTCGCAGTTCGGGTGACGGTGCTGCAAACGCAGGTGAAGACCGGCTCGCGGTGGGGAATCTTCGGGGAAGTGGGTCTCCACGTCTGCGCAGCACCAAAGTCAGCATCTCACTGCCTCCGCCTGCCAGGTGCCAGGTGCAGTGCGTTGCCTCTCCCCTTCTCTCTGAGCTCCCAGTCTTCTGGGCTCCCGCTTCATCTCCTCTTACACTCTCTACTCCACAAAGGCCTTGGGCTTTGTTTTCTGTCCACGGTGTCACCAGGACTCAGGATAAGCGCGGCTTGGGGTGGCCTCATACTCTGGCTTCCCGATGCTTCCATTTTGGCATGTGAGGATTCCTTCACCACTTTTCAGTTTGGAGGTAAATTTGAAAAGTGTTCTTTCCCCCTTTTGTATTTTGCTCAACACTTGCCATTGTTTTCAGTAAGAAGGTTTTCCGTAGGGCGGTGTTTGATGAACTGCGGGCAAGGCAGGTTGGCCCACACGACCTTTTTCAGATCTTTCAAAATCATAAGCTGTAATGACTTTGTCAGGATGTCCCCTGAGGTCATCCTCAGGGGGCAGGCAGGTAGACAGACGTGAGCAGAGCAAGGACAGTGGGCCAGGTGCAGAAGGTCACCCGGGCCCAAAGCCCCGGGTGCCGAGCAACGGGCACAAGTGGGAAAACAAGAATTAGGGTTGAGACCTCCTGACCTTTCACACCACTGGTCATGCGGTTTGGACCCTTCCCTGACCTCTTCTCCCCTGGCCTGACGCTACTCATGCGGGCTAGACCCCCTTAGGGAAGCAACGAGGAGGCTGGAGAACAGCCCCTCAGCAGTGAGCCCTCAGGACACCGAGTTTCAGACCCGCATCAAATGCATCCAGGTCTCGGTTGTGTTTCAGCTCCAGGCCCAGAAAAGCAGCAAAAGCAGACAAATGACATCATGGCTGACGATGAGCCCCTGCCCGGGCACTGACAAATCAGTGGAGACGGTGACCCCGAAAGGACACACCTGGGAAGCCGATGAATATTCTATTGAGATCCTCCCCAGGGACCTTCCCTAATATCTCCACCCTTAAAAGCCCTTAGGACTCAGGATCCCGGGCCCTCCCTCACCTGTGCCTTTCTCCTCCTCCCCCGTTCCCTCCCCCCAGGTGGCTACCTTTACCTTCCTCCAGGGGCCCTTCTTTCACCTCTGTTACTTGTTTCCTGAGCCCATTCCTCCCACCACTCACTCCTTCCACCTCTGTGACTTTCTACAGAAACTTTCTCTTACAGTTCGAGTCGTGGCTCTGAATTCTTTCCCAGCCAGAACTCAAGGGCGGAGGCTGCAGAACCAAGGTCGGGTCTGACCCCACCCGTCCTACACCTGGTGCCATTCTTGTCACTGCCAACAGATCTACGTGACCTGCTCTATTCCCCATTTTAGGCTTTTGGATACATTATTAAATTTTTTAAATAATAAAGCCACCATCTTCAGAAAAGCAGATAATTGCATATGGAAATGCAATTCAGAGAGTAATAAAGAAGAATAATTGTACTAGGAGGAAATTAAATGTCTTCTGTGAGATAAAACACAGCCAATGTAGAAAAACGAATTCGTTAAAGGATGACCAGGTTCTCAGGGGAAGAGCAATTTTCCTTGTTCCTGACGCTCTTTCAGACGAAGGTTTTCAGTGACTTCCTTCCAGTGCCTGAAGGGACCTTTTGGGGATGTGGTTTGTGGCATGTGTTCCCTGCCTAGAGAATGGCAGCGACGACCCATCACGGGCTTAAAGTCTGGGATGTTGGTACTGTGTCATTCCTTCTTTTTCCCTCCAGCTTTCCCCCTCGTCCCTCTGGCCTCGCTCAGTGAATGCCATCGGCATCTGCCCAGTTGTTTAAGCCAGAAACCTGCACGTCATCCTGATCTTCACGGTCGGTCAATGCTCACACGCGCCTTCCAACAAGGTCACCAGTTCGGCTTCCCCAGAAGCCGCAGAAGCCGCTGGGGTGCTCCCGTCCCTCCGACCTCGACTGGTCAGGAGCCGGGCCCTGTGCTCAGTCCTGCACACGCCCTCTAACCCCCCAGGATAACTGTCTGCTCCTCACTCAGGCAAAGAGGGAAACGTGTTGGGCTCTCGAATAGCCGTGACGATGCTCCAGTGTTACAAGCCTAGTGTTACTCCAGGCTTGATTCAGTCTCCGGACCAGTGTTCAGGACATGGAGGGCCACCGATGCCACTTCTGACACAGGCAAAAGACCCTGGTGACTTAGGCCTGAGCCTCAAACTAAGTGCAAGGAAAAGTGACCGTAAGGCCAGTGCTGAACATGGACATGTGACTCCATTTCTGAAGCAAATGGTCTTTTCTTTTTCTTAAAAAAAAAAAAGACTTTATTTTTTAGAGAGGGGAAGGGAGGAAGAAGGAGAGGGAGAGAAACACCAATTGGTTTCCTCTTACACACGCCCACCTGGGGGGGACCTGGCCTGAAACCCAGGCCTGTGCCCTGAGGGGGAGTCGAACCTGCAACCTTTCAGTTTATAGGACTGCGCTCCAACCACTGAGCCGCACCAGCCAGGGCAGCGAATGGTCTTCTAATGATAGAAAGGGATGGGAGATTCGTGTTCAGGGGTCTGCATCAGGGAGAGAAGACAGATGGGGTCTGGCTGACGTGGGGGCAATGATAGCAGACACAGCCATCTCCTGGCTTGTATTCTGCTGAATTAGTTCTATGCAATTGACCGCGGTAGTTAAGAGAAGGGGGGAGGGGTTTGGGGGGAAGTTCAGGGAACATTTGGCCATACAGGACATGTACTCTAACATCACAAGCATTACAGGGAAGGCAATGATTAAACAAGAAAACTTAAAACTGGGGCCAAAGGGACCAGGTGCTGCAACCGCACGGCTTGGGTTCAAATCCAGCTCACAGTTTTTCAGCTGTGTGACCTTAAAAAAGAAACCTAAACTCTGCTCCTTTATTCTCTGATTTTTAAAACTAGAAAATTAGTGGCCCATACTTCATAGAATTATTGTGAGAACTTATTTAATGGATATATTCAATGTTATAGCTTATGGTGATCCCTATTCGAGTGTGAACCCTCTTCCCTTAAACAAAATTCCCTCAAAAATCTTTATTACTCCCCGTGTGCCGCACTCCATTTTAGTTACTGCAGACAGAGCTCTGAGCAGAAGGACCCCTGCCTTCAAGAACTGACGACGGAGACGGACAGTAGAAAAGCTCTGAACAGAAAGGACAGATCGCGCAGGGCTAAGGGCTGTAAGGAACAAAGGGCGACGTCACAGGGAGTGGCCTGGTGAGGGTCACGGTGTCTGCGGAAAGAAGGTGACAGGTGTGAGGACGTCTCGGAGCAGTGAAGAGAGACCAAGGGGAGAGAAGTGAGCGACTGTGGTGGGATAAATAACGTCCCCGGCAACACGCCCGTGTCCTAGGCTACAAGGTATCTTCTCCGACCACAGTGGCATGAAGTTAGACGTCAGTGTCAGAATGAAAACTGAAAAATTCACAAATTCACGGAATCTGAAACAACACACTCAAACGACCAATGGGTCAAAGGAGAAATCACAGGGAAATTAGAAAATATCTTGAGACAAACGGAAACGCAAACACGGCATCCCGAAGTGACGGGACACAGGGAGACCAGCGCGAGGGAGGAAGGTAACAGCTGCAAACGGTGACAAAGAAGGGCGAGCTCCGACTAACAACACTAACAATGTCACTTAAGGAACCTCCAAAAGCTGCCAGGAGGAAGAAAATAATAAAGATCACAGCAGGGGTCAAGGAAATAAGGAAGAGAAAAATAATTGAGAAATCGATAAAACCGGAAGTTGGGATCAACAAAATTGACAAACCTTTCAGCTAGATGGATTAAGAAAAAAGAGAGACAATTAAAAAGTCGGAAATAAATGTGGGAATATTAAAACTGATGCTACAGAAATAAAGAGGACCGTACAAAACTACTGTGAACAATTTTATGCTAATAAATTGGATATGAAATGAACAAATTCCTATAAACACAAAACCTACCAAGACGGAACTACAAAGGAACAGAAATCGTAAATATACCTAATAAGTAGTTAGCAGACTGAATCAGTAATAAAAAATATCCCAACCAAGAAAAGCCCTGGACTTTATGGGTTCTTTGGTAAATTCCAGCAAACATTTAAAGAACTAACATTAGCCTTAGTTGACGTGGCTCAGGGGACTGAGTGTGAGCCTGCGAGCCAAAAGTTCTTCGGTTCGATTCCCGGTCAGGGCACATGCCTGGGTTGGGGGTCAGGTCCCCAGCTGGGGGTGTGCGAGAGGCAACCAGTGGATGTTTCTCTCATACACCAATGTTTCTCTCCCTTTCTTTTTCCCTCCCTTCCCCTCTCTGTAAAAATAAATAAATAAAATCTAAACCAAATGCAAATAAAACAAAGAAGACCTAATACCAATCCTCAAATTTTCAAAAGCACTGAAGGGGCAGAAAGACTTCCTTACTCTCTAGGAGGCCAGCATTTTCCTGAGACCAAAGTTAGACAAAAACAAAACAACAGAATCATTTCCCTTACACACACTGATGTAAAAATCTTCATCAAATTACTAGAAAACCAAATTTAGGAGCACGAAAAGCGTCCAGATCAGACAGAAACAAGGGAAATGATCTTGTTAGCATGTTCACAGATGACATGATCTCATATGGAGAAAACCCTATAGATTCATAAGCCCCCCCAAACTGTTACAATTAATCAATGAATTGAGCAAAGTAGCAGGAAGTGAACACACAAAAAGCAGTTGCATTTCTACACATTAAAAATGAACAACCAGAAAGTGAAATTAAGAAAATGATTCTGTTTACAATAGCATCAAAAAGGAGAAACATACTTGGGAATGGCTTCATCAGGGAGGCGAAAGACTCGGACAATAAAAACTAAAAAAACATCGTTGAAAGAAATCGAAGGAGACATAAATGGAAACACATTCCAGGTTCATGGATTGTAAGACTTAATATCGTGAAGATGTTAATATTATCCAAAGTAACCTACGGATTCAATGCAATCTTTATCAAATTCTCCACGCCCTCCTTCTTTTCAGAAGTAAAAAAAACAACAACAACAAACAAACCCAACTGTCCTAAACTTCATATGGAATCTCAAGTGACACTAATAGCCAAAACAATCTGGAAAAAGAAGAGCAGAGCTGGAGACTTTTGCTTCCTGATTTCAAAACTTACTAGAAAACCACACTAACCAAAACAGCGTGCTCCGGCACGAGAGCAGACAGACGCCAGGGAAGCCGCATGGAGATTCCAGAAAGAAAGCCTCGCCCGATGACTTTTGAGGAGGGCGCCAAGTTCCCTCAGTGGAGAAAGTGGCGTCTTTCAACCAGTGGCGCCGCGGGACCTGGGTGAGTGCACACAGGAAGGTGCAGCGGGGCCTTTAGCTAATGCCGCACGCAGACATGAACGCCAAAGGGCTCAAAGATCTGAATGTAAGACCTAAAACTATGAAACTCCTAGAAGAAAACAGAAGGGAAAAGCTAAATTGACACTAAATTCATCAGTGCTTGCATATGGCACCAAGGCCACAGGGAGTAAAAGAAAAGTAGGTGAATGGAACTTCCTGAAAATTAAAAATAATTGCATGTACACAAAATTCTATGCATCAGAAGACAATATTAACAGACTAAAACCCCACAGAATGGGAGAAAATGTCTGTAAATAATATATTTGATAAGGGATTCAGAGCCAGGACACACAGAGAACTTCTAAAACTTACCAACAACAATGGACAACCACCACAACAAACAAGCTACTTCAAAAACGGGGCAAGGACTAATTAACATAGACATATTTCCAAAGAATATGTGCAAATGGCCAGTGAAGACACACAAAGAGATGCTCAGCATCTGTAACTATTAGAGGAACACAAATCAGAACCACGTCGAGGTATCGCTTCACACCCACCGAGACGGCCAAGACCCCTGTGAGCCGGGACTGACATCGGTGGTGAGGACCCAGAGAAACAGGCGCCGTGCACCCTGCTGGCGGGAATGGAAAGTGGTGTGGGGCAGTTTCTGCAAGCTATTTAAAATAGAACTGCCATGCCTGTCAGCAATTCTCCTGGGCGCATGCTCAAAAGAATGAAAAGCAGGGTCTTGAAGAAACACTTGTTCACCCCCGTCCACGGCAGCATTGTTGCCAGCAGCCAAAAAGGGGAAGCGACCCAGGTGTCCATGCACGAAGGGATGGATAAGTGAAACGAGATAGACATACAAACAGCGGAGGATTACTCAGCCTTAAAAATGAAGGGAGTTCTGACACACTGAGTGGCATGGATTCCTTCTGAGGACACTCCTCTGAGTGATACATGCACGAGTCACACACAGGACACTACTGCAAAACCCCACATGTGCAGGGTGTGTGGAGTGGTGAAATGTGGAGACAGAACGCATACTGGCAGTTAGCGGGGGTGGGAGGGAGATGGGAAGCGGCCGTGGAATGGTTTTCCCAGACAGACCAACTTCTGGAGATGGTCGGCGGCGGTGGTCGCACGAGAAAGTGAATGGACTCACCGCCCGGGGGCTGAATACTCACCAAGCTCAGATGGCAAATTGTATGTGCAGTTACCACAACTCTCAAGAAAACGTTAGTGAGGGGAGAGATCACATCCACGCCTGAATCCTTGTAACCTAGAGTCCCTCATCTGGCAAACCAACCAACCAACCAACCAACCAACCAACCAACCAACCATGCAGAACTGATTCGGTAGAGGATCTTGACATGGGGAGATTATCCTGGCTCCTCCAGGTGGGCCCGAAATGCCATGCACATGCACTCCTGTAAGAGTAGGGAGGGGTCTGAACACAGCAGAGATGACAAGGCAATGACACCTGGGAGGCAGACGCAGGAATGATGGGTCACGAGCCAAAGAACACTAGTAGCCACCAGGCATTAGAAATGCAAGGAATGGATGCTCCCCGGGCCCCCCGAGAGAGAATAGCTTTGCAGCCGCCTTGAATTTGGGTCCACCGAAGCAGACGATGGCCTCCAGAACGGGGAGAGAATACACTTGCTTTTTGAAACCTACGAGTTTGTGGTCATTGTTACAGGCTATGAGGTTCTTAAACTCATAGTGGGATGCAGAGCTTTGCAGAACTCAAGACCCCTCCACCGAGACATCGGAATTCCCTTACAGCCTGGGGAAAACATGTCCCCCGAGTGGTAGCCCAGTGTCTGCTATCAAACAGATCTTCTCAAATTATCTCCAGTTTGCACAGTGTCTCCAAACACCGGGTATTAGGGCTTTAATCTGAATTTTGACATCGGGGATAAATTATTAGCACCTAGAATGCACTTTAAAACCATAGAACATAAAAGCTGATGAACTGTAAATATTAGTAATAACAAACTAATGGATGGGTCATATGACAAAGGATTTATTATACCATCCCCTCTCCTCAACTCTCCCTGCTCCTAGAAAACAAACCCTAATAATAAGAAAAATAATTCAGTCCAAGTGGAGACCACTTTCGGTATTGCAGAGTACAAAAATCTCATGTAATACTGGATTTTTTTAAAATCATGGACAAAGTATTTCCCTACTGAGATATCATTTCTTATGTGAGAAAGAATAATGGGGACATTATTTTGTTAAGAAAGGAAACATGAAGGCTTTCTTTAAAGCTATTATAAATACGGTGTTTAAATTGGGGGGGAACACTGCATTTTTGCCAGACCTAATCACACTAGGTCGCCCACCTGCGATGCCACAGTCCCAAAAGATCACTTCATATGGCTTTGTTTCAAATTCGTATGTAGAAAACGATGTGTTTTGACAATTTAGTATTTTCTTTCATATATTTAAAAATCATTAATTGGCCTAATTAAAATAGCAGATACAATTTTTTCTACAAGCAATAATTATAATTTTTAAATAATGTCTACCTAGATAAGGTAAGAGAACTTTATTTTCCATGAAAAGATTAAGTCCTTTTAGTTGCTAGAAATTTTTTAAAGACTCCCCCAAGATTTCCCAGTTCTAAAATAATCATATATACCCATATATATGTGTATTTACATATACAATACATATACCTATGTGTATATATAGGAAATAGATATATTTATAAAATGTATACTTTATATAAATGAATACATGTGAAATAAAACATATCCACATGCCCCAAAGAGTATTTTTTTTAACATGGACTAACACATGGAAGCGATTTCTACCCCCTGCACACACAGACAACCAGATGGCTTCTGCTCCCGGGGAGTCCCTGGAAAGAAATTGCTACTTGATATGACCAGAGGAGCTCCCTGGGAAATCCACACACGTAACTACAAACAGACCAGCGCCCTTGTGGGCAGCGCACGCTCGGTGTGGGGAGGGGCTCGTACTGGGGTCAGCCCTGTGTCTGCAGGGCAGGTTACCTAGGTAGCTGTGCGCTGGCTTCTCCTCCACGACTTTGATCCTTCGGGCCCCGGTGGGTATCACCAGCACTTCCACGTAACCTGTAAGAGCCAGGAAGGCGGGCAGTAAATCTCGAGTTTTTAGGAAATGCCTTTTTCTTAGTTGACTTGCCCTTTCTTCTTGGGATTTTGGTTTTTGGTATGATATTTCAAATACCTGCATTTCAAACAAATGTTTTGAAACTGGGTGTCTAGACAGGGAAGCGTAAGGCCACACCAAGCAATCCAGTGTCACCTGGGGAGGCGTCCAAGTTTTAGGAATAGAAAGGTTGATGTGAACCAAGGTGATAAGGTAACACGCGATAAAAGCAAGGACGTGCAGAAAAAGCCCAAATCAAGACTTCATTCAGTGCAGAATATATAGGTGACTACTCTTCGGCCTGAGTAGTTAGGCTTTAAAATTATATGGAAATAATCGCGAACATTCTTCTTATATATATGTATAGCTCCAAATATCTGATAGAGGTCTAATTTCAAAGCTATTTTTAAAATGGCACAACAGTTCATCGCTGCATTGTCTGCTGTTGATTAATTATTAAAATTCCTGAAACTGGTTCAATTATTTGGTGTATGCCAGATGGTAGCATATACCCCACCTGGTGGCGGTGGCTGGAATTATGCTTTTAGAATCATAATTTCCATTAGCCAGCGCTGTTTATTCAGCGTGACCATTTTTAGTACTAACGAGCCACACGAGCACCATCATTTTGTTCCACAAACCAGCAGACAGCAGTGGAAAGAGAAACACGTGCTTACTGCCTATTTGCACACAGAAGTAAGATGAGAAGGTCTCCGCACTCAATGGGCTGGTGACAGAATTGAAAAGACGAGGCAGAAGTACCTGACATAAATGAGTTGCCTAAAACTTCAAAAATGATGTTTAAAAGATCCTACACAAAATGCTATGGCTGACTCCCGGCTCAGGAATATAAACCATGTCGTTTAAACTGTTCCCCTTCTCATGGTCACATCACCACTCAAAAGGTTGGCTGCTATTTTTAACTCGCAGAAGTGGGATTTATTTTCCCTTTTTCCCTTGTAAATGGTTCGATACATTACTCATGTTTGAGAAACACTGGCCTCGGCCAGAATCCCTATGAGTCAGAGGAGAGAACCGTTTTTACAGTCCAGGGAAGCTTCAGGGAGAAGCGTCCAGATGGCCTGTCTGTGAAGAGTAGGTGGGCTGTGGATGGACGCAGCTGGGGGATGAGCCCAGCGAACGGAAGGACACGGAGGGGAGCGAGTGGTACCCGTAGCAGCACGTGGGTAACGTAATTCTGACAGAACAAGATGTAAGAAGATGGCCCCACTAAAGAGAGTTTTAACATATGCCCAGGACACGGCATCAATCAGTTGGCAGCTACAGAACTTTGTATGGCGAGGAGCTTGGTCATCAGACGCCGGCTGGAGAGGCTTCCCCTGACAGTGGGACGCAGGACAGCCAGCGGCGCAGCTGTGGGTAGCCACGTCGGGAGGCTACTGTGAAAACCTGGGAAGGCACCGTGCAGGGAAGAAATATGAACCTGAGAACCAGGCGAAAGAGGGGAAACAAACCCTGAATTTCGTCGTTCCTGACAGGAGAGGGGAGTCCAGCGCCTACAGGAGTGCGGGGGTCAAGCTGGAATGAGGATCTGATGAACACAGCCCTGGAATCTGTATTTTATGAAAACGGTGTAGCACAAGTGCACAAATACCCAGAGACAGTGTGGAGGCCTCTGGAGCCCTGGAGAAAGGGCAGGCCCCAGCAGCACCTTCGGGAGGCGGCTCCACAGAGGCAGCCGCCTCCGCCCCGAGAGCGAGTGCAGACAGCCGGGAGGGACGTGAAGAACTCCACCTCGGTGACCATCATAGATTTTAACAGAGATTCAACACAGACCAGGAATGAATTAGAGGGCTCTGGCTATTTGGGTGCATTAGGACCCCGTGGATCGGAATATCCCAAGAAACTGGTTAGCCGGCCTGCCAGGAGCAGTGGAGACACCACGGAGAGAGTGTCCCGGTCGAGAGATGACTGCTAGTCTCCAGGCGGATGAACCCAGCCAGCTGAGACGTCAAATCCCAGGGTGTTACAACAGAACGCCAGACGGGGAAGAGCACGGGGCGTGGCTGGAAGGTCTGCAGCACCGTCCCGCTATCCCATGGGAACGGACTGGAGATCAGCCGGGTTCACCTGGCTTTAAAGAAGAGAGGGGGGAAATATTGCGCAAAGACATTTGACGAATAATAGCCAGTGACTGGAGCCCTCGATATTTTTCTGTCAAGAAGGATTTTAGCACAATGGAGAATGTACTTTTTTTTTTTAAGCATGCAAGGGTGGCTGCCACTGAGTTTAGAGGCTGGAATGAAGCCTGTCATGTCAAAGCCATGAACTGCATCCTCAGGTCCGACGGCCTGCTTTGTGCCCAGGAGCGCGCCATCCTGCTGGATGGCCAGGGACCCGCTGCTAATCGGCCATCGTGAAGTGCCAGCAGCAACTGTGACTATCACAGCAGTGACAACGAAAATGCCACATTTTGAGCAACCTCCTGTGCTAATCACTATTATAGGGGATTTACATAAATTCTTCCATTTAATCAGAATGATAACACCTAGGGTAGATTTTATATTCCTCACATAACAGATGAGAAAATAAATGTGGGTGGGTGGGTGGGATACTCCTTTCCCAAGACTGCATTGTCAGTTAGCAGCTGACCCAGGCTTTGAACTTGGATCTGTCGGATTCCACACTGCGCGCCCGTGCCCAGCTGTGGCCCACGGCTGCCGTGCTGTAAAATGAAGAGTGTGACAGTCTGACTCCCCTCCTCTCACGGGCAAAACGCAAACACAAAGCTGAATTGGTGCCATTGTCTCTCATACTTAGAAGAGAACATTTATGCCCATCTTCTCCTTAATGTAAGTGGGTCACTCCATAGTTCCACATCCGGCCTTCTCCACCAGTTCACCTCAAAAAAATCCCTTTAAAAACCTTTAAAAAATCACCTCCTGGTCAGGCAAGTTACAACAAAAGACATGACAAATGCACAAGAAAAAAAACCACCTCTTCTTAAGTTTAGTTGCGAGCTCCAACAAAAACGCCTCGGCAAACCCTAAATAGAGCAGAGGGACCACAAACACGCACACGTGTCTGCACACGTGTGACTCACAAGGATCACTGGGTGGCGCGGCCAACTGGACCAAACGGGGCTCCGCTCCTGCGAGACACTCTAGGAAGTCCAGAAACCACACGGACAAAATCGTCTCGAGAGAGGAGTACAACATTCCTAAAGACACAAGTCGATGAAGCCCGTGACATGATCAAGGACTCACGAAGACCCGGGGGTTTTATTTTGAAAGTTCTTACTGTGGTCAGGTTTCAGGATGAATTTAATCAATGCATAGTCGTGAATCACACACTATGTTTATCATGGAGAACGTGGAGGGAACAAAGACAGCCGCGGCATTTTTTTCATTAATACTGAAACCTAGTGGGGAAGGCCAATTTGAACGCACAGTTACACATGTGACCGGAGCTGCCGTACGGGTGCAAATATGGGAAACATACTACAGCAGTTGTCAGCGGTGGGAGGGGGAGGCCATACAGGAGCACAGCCCTGTGTGAGTGACACGGGGACAGGGGTCTAAGGGACGGCCAGGAATTCACGGGCAAGGCTCGGCGGAAGCTAACAGAACTGTTTGTGAGTGCAGTGCACTGGAGGGAGCGCGGGCGGCTGGAGCATCTGGAAGGAATCTGGTAGCTGCAGCTCAGAGAAGGAAAAGGGGCCTCAGTGAGAGACGATGCTGGAGGGGCAGGCGGGGACAGCCTCGCGCAGGGCTGTTTGACCGTCCAGGTTAGGAATTTCTCGTCTCTTCCCTGGGAGCAACGTGAAGGCAGCACAGAGTTCCAGAAGGAAGCAGTGTCATTAGTCTGGTAATTCCAGTACCTTAGGCATCTCAGACGTTTTCCAGTAACAGATGTCATTCATATAACTTACCTATATCGAACAAACAAATGAACTGAAGTAGACATTAAAGCGCAATGCAAACAACCTTTAAAGTAGGCGTCTGGGGGGAAACCGACTTCCTTCACTGCAGTCAGAATGGCAACCATCACTGGCTTGTTAACTGGCCCTTCTCTTCTCCAGGCCTGGTGGGAGGACCCAGAGTTGCTACAATGAGAGGAACCAGCGTTGAGTGTGCCTCCGCACTCTCCAGCGACTGGTCCCCACACATACGAAGTGTGCCAGAACGCCCTTCACCAACTCCAGTCTCTTCGTATCTGAAGCTCTCGGACTGCATGTGCACTCCTGCACTATAAACCCTTCTGCCGTCACAACCGGGCTGAAGGCTCACCATACTCGCACTTCAGGGCCGAACATCGGGGAGCCTGCGGCAGCTCTGCAGGGCTTTCCCAGATGAGCCCCGGCAGGGCGTGACTGGTGGGACCCGCCACCCTGCCGCGCAGCACTGGGGGCTGAGGTCGTGACCTGCAGCTTCCCCTGGGCCTTGGTTATTTTTAAGCTCCAAAATCTTCAGTCTCACTTAGCTTTTATTCTGCTGGGGCCTGGCAAATGCCTACTTTCCCCTTCAGAGGGCTGTGCCTAAGGTTCTTCCCCGAAGGGTTCATCTACCTGGAATAAACGCAGTTTTCCTGGTGACTCAAACACAAATAGCTTGTTTCTTGTATTAAAACTAACACATATTTTAGTCTCAGGGTTTTTTTTTTTTTTATTTGACCAAGAAAGAATTGTAAAATAAAAAAAGCTGACATATGTAATATCCACAAAGTAAAGATGATGAAGATATAATCACAAACACTAAGATAGTCCAGTAGGCAGGGGTCTGGGCGAGACCCTGAGGTAAACAGAGAAACGCCTGCTCCCTCCCAGGAAGTCCGAGGGCCCGGGTACACAGCGCCTTCTCTTCCCGAAGCAGATGTGTGGGTGTGGTTGCATTTCAGCACAGATACCGCTTTTGGGGGTGGACCACTGTAAAAGTCACGCTACATGGGTCACTCACGTTCGTGTCAAGCTCATAGCCCCTGGATAGAGCACCGAGAGGTGAGGAGAACAGGACAGAGGGTGACGTCCCACCACGAATCCATCTGCAACCTCACCCCACACCTCTGCCCCTCCTTACTGTCCCTGCCACACTACCCGCTGCACACTCTCTGTTTCCAAAACCGGATTCCCTTCACATGTAGTAAAGACAGTAAGAGAAAGTAAAGAAAAGGGGAAGCGGAAAGCCTGAAGACTAGTCCTCTGAACGGCTGTTTGGGGCTGCGGGGCAGGGTCACTGTCGGGGGACAGCATCGCTCCCGGCACTGGACAGGACGAGGCCTGCAGAAACCCTGCAACACTTGCCAATGCAAATTAGACTATCCCCCTGCGGCTACAATGTATTAAATGCACAACAGATGGCTTTGTATTTTCATCACTGGGAAGTGGGCTTGTTAGGACTGCTGGCTTGTGTCACGTGTGTCATGTGTCGTGGTGAAAAATCATCCACGGCCCATCACACAGTCTTCAAAGCTTCTGAGCCGTGACCGACGCCCGTGCTGTCCCCAAAGATGGCTCACACCCTTACTTCTGGGAAAATGGGACTATGGTTACCTGTTCCTCTGGTGTGATTGAACTCTCCTTTAACGACTCGGCACGACTTCCCGTTGCCATTGCACACACCGCAGTGGTCTTCCCTCGCCAGAGACCCCAGCAGGCCGTCGCAGCCGACCTTCTGTAACGAGAGCGCGGCCACATGCCGCACACACGGTCAGTGAGCTCTGCTTCCTTCTTCCCACGTCAGACTCGGGACAAACCGAGTCCCTACAGACTAGAGGCATCTATTTGACCCACTAGGAAAATGCCACATTTTCTGGTGCCAACCAGTCCAGCAAGCTCCCGTCACATAACAGCTCTAAAGTGACCAGAGAGTAGAATAGTGATGAGAACATTTTTCTTGCATTAAAATGAAACGATATCCTAAAGCAGTTTGGTAAAATGTCACCGAGAGAAAGGCAATTTACACAAGTCCCACAGGCAATGGCATTTCTATTAAATACAACACAATCCATCTGACTTGTTCTATTCCGCCCAGAACAGATACACCTCATTACATGGATGGCTTCATGTCTAAGATGGTAGAAAAGCAAATGCCGACTGTTAGACAGTAACTTTGTAAAAACCGAATGCGAATGTTCATCTTCACTCCAGTCCATGAGTGGGCCTCTAGCCCTGTCTCTCTGGCAACCAGCCCACCGAGGGGACAGCTACTCACACCCCAGGGCGGCTGCAAGAAAATGTGAATGGCGGGGATTCGCTTTCACACGCTCCCCAAGTGACTGTGTTAACACGAATCTCCTGAGATCCCATCGCTGACGCTTTCCTGGTGGACACCACTGGCCTCCCAGTGACGTGCAGAAAATACAGCCCTAGTTCTCAAAGCCATGCACACTCATGCCAGAAACAAACAGAATTGCACAATGACCCCTAAGTAGGGGTTTCGAGAGAGAACGGTGACGTACTCCTGTGTAAGTTATAATCACTTCAGAGGTGTTTCTAAACTATGGACAAAACAGAAACAAAAACAGGGTTTGGAGCAGTGGTTGGTGCTGGTGGTGACGCAATGAGGGAGGCAGGCTGATGATCGAGTGCAGCTGTCGAAGAGCAAAAGTGCCCTGGAACCGGCACACCGGAGGGAGCATCGCTCGCTCTGTCCAGGGTGCGTCAGCCTCAGGAGGCGGACAGAGCCACGCGTTAGGGGAGGGGTCCTGATCAGCGAATCAGAGCTTACTCAGCGGAACCAAAGGGAATGTCTCTGGGAGAAAGAGGCAGCCCCCACTGGAAACTCTCACACGCAGAGAACTGGGAAATGTTCACTGTGCAGGGGCCGTGAAAAGACCTGGGAGTCCTGGGGTGAGGAAGAAACTTCCCTTTCACGAGCAAGTGAGAAAAAATGTGGAGTCTGGAGTGACTGGACAGGCCAAAGCAGGTTTCCTGCTCTACCGTCAGCATCCGGCTTGTTCCCTGGTGGGTACAATACACTCAATATACGGTAGTTAAAAATTGGGTAAATTAGTACCTAGTAGTCTCTGGGGTTTTTTTTTCTAGCCATTGTAACTGGGATATTACAAGTTTGTAAACCTAAAATAAAAGTCAGGGGTAGACATGCTGTGGCTCAATAATCATGGACTTTTTAAAATAAGAATCAAGAATTTTGTACTTTGTCATCGGTAGCCTCAGGTATCCATACTTAACAAAACTCGCTCACATAAGTCCAAGAGTTGAGGATGGACACCTTTGACAAGGTGATGCTGTGTGACTGGTGGCAGGGACCTAGGGTACCACAGCGTGTGGGAGGTGGCGGACAGCAGGGATCACACAGGGCGGAACTTTCTCTCCCCTCCACCAGGATGGAGTCGTCCCTGTTTTCAATGCCCATTCACCAAATCCACTAACCTTAGTCCACTCACCACAGTTAGAAATCTGCATTCAGCTTCAGTGCTATGCATGTTGTGATACACCAAAAACATTCAAGCCAAACCCAATGTATTGAAGATGGTCAGGAAAAAGAAGTATGTTTTTAATTGTACTGAAAGACTAATGAAGCGTTTTTGTTAAAAAGCCAGGATCGTGAGGTATTCCAGTGCTGTTAGAAGTCAAAGCCCATTCCCTAGCACCTTCATGGAAGGGTCGCCATCAGGTTCACCCAGCACTGACTTACGCACAGGCTTTGTTGGTGCCGAGCCCGAGTGTCCAGCTAGCCCCGGTGCCAGCTGTGCCCACACGGTGCTGCTGGGTGAGAGGCTCAGCTGTTTAGGCGATTGTATGTGGCATATTCGGTCGGACAAAATTTTTTTCAAAAGTCATTTGTTTAAGACATTCGCTCATCTGACAGATTTATATATAATGACAGAATTAAGTTAATAGCTTTGATTGCACAACATACAGTTCTGGAAACAAACTGGGTGGAGGTAAATGCCTGCAGTGATTGATTTTTACAGACAAATAAAACATTACATTTCATGTTACTGACATATTCTGTTAAAGAATAAAGGAAATTAATATGTAACTATAAAATCATTTCTTATGCCAATGTCAGTATATGATTCTGTGCTTTAAACTTCATAGCACACTGGAAAAGTATAAAATCTTAGAGCTGGTGAGGCATTTAAGTTTCATGGTGTTTCCAAGTTTTTACCCAGAAGCCCACAGACTTCTATAGGACCAGAGACTGATTTATCTTCAGCCTGCAATTGTTTTCAAATGTTGGTGTGAGTGTGTGCATGCACAGTGTGTGTGTGCGTGTGGTCAGGTGTGCATTTTTTGGGGGGGGCAAACTTTTCATGAAATTCTCAAATGTGTGTATTCAATACATACACACAAAAATCAATGACCATTGGCCCAACAATTTCATTTGACAGATTAGCTAATGGATGCACACCTATCTTAAGTGATTCTCTTAAGAACACAGTTTCCTAGCAGCTGTCACGGACTCCACCCTGGGACTCTCTCGTAGCTAAAAAATTTCTGTCCCTCCCATGCCGGGAACATCTATCAGCTGCTGGTTCTTAGCCATCCACCCTTTCCAGAAGCTGCCTGCCTAGTCCGAAGAAAACTGCCTTTCACCAGGTCACATCCCGTTCCAGGGACAGCTGGCATCCAAACGGTCATAGATGCTGTGGCTAAAGGAGCTTTTTTCCTCTCCCCGAGAATCAGCTGAGGTCTTGTGCTTGCACAGCAGCCCAGTTTCTCCCTGCACCCGATGCCGCCTCCTCCTACTTGCCGCACAGATACTGATCACACAAACACTCGGCATCAACCTTCCTGCACATTGACCTTCCAGGGAAGCCCACCTGAGGCAGTGGCACAGCTGTGATCGGCAGCCTCCAGGTTCTGGCCCTTGCACTTCACACCATGCTTCTCATCCTCACTCTAACAGGATCTCTACCTTCCTAACGATAAATGAAGAGCACACGGATGCACACGGCAGATGGCGATTACATGAGTGGGTCTTGAGAATGTCATGCCAAGTGAAATAAGCCAGGCAGAAACGGTCAAGAACCATATGATTTCACTCGTGTGGAATATAAAACGGAAAGCAACAAGTGAACAAACAAGAAAAACAAACAAAAACTCATAAGCAGACAACAGGCTCTGACAATACCAGAGGGAAGGGAGGTGGGGAAGGCAGTCAAGGGTAAAGGGGGCTGGACCCATGGTGGCCCAAGAAGATTCAGTCGGTGGGAATGCGATGCAATCTACAGATGATGTACCATAGAACTATACGCTTGAAACTGATATAATCTTACCAACCCATGGCACCCCGATATATTTAACTTAAAAATAAAAAATAATTTAAAAAGGCAGAGAGGGGCAAATGCATTAAGTATCAGGGAACTGAAACTGCTTCCCTATCAAGTGAGTAGTGGGACTGATCTGACAGTTTTTTGCTGTGGGGAAAACATGGAGGACTGGAGTGCTTGACTCGTGTGTCTGTGGTGTCTGGGCAAAAAATGCCCCATGTGTTGCCATTCTAGACGTGTAATATGTACACGACAGAATCAGAACCTCGGATCCTTTCCACCAGTAATTCATATGCCAGATTATCTAGCCCAAACCCAACATTATACAAAGCAGATCTGACTTGGTCAAGTTCACGGTGGAGTCAGGACGGCACCCAGGTCTCTGGACTCTGCATGCAGAGCTCTCCCCCACAGAGCTGGGCAGCTGCTCCGGGGCCCCACAGCGTACGCATTCTGCCTTTTAGAACGTCTTACCTGACACCGGCCACTGGCACAGAAATCTAGTCCCTGGTATCCGCAAGAAGTTCCATCCATCACTTTCTCGGACAGGAGAACAGGCTCCTCTTTCCCAACAGGAGAGCAAAACAAGGCGCATGGTTTTTCTGAGTCCGGAGTGGATAAAAAGAAATGAGCAAAAGGGATGCCGTAAATATTTTTATCTTAAGCATCATTTTTTTTAGAATAGCTGTTGAGTAAAAAACACAAGTCGATGTTAAGTGGATCACGTAATACTAATGCAGATAACACTAGATGGTCACTATGAGGAGCGTGTGAGACAATGCCCAGGGAAATGCAAGGGCCCCGTGAGTGTCGATGTCCTGCCTAGGAAATCTTCCATTCCACTGTTTTCAAAGTGTGTACTTATTATTTTCTGGCATTAAACCTCTACCACACACAAGCCAATCATTCTTCCTGAAAAATGTCATGTACACCCTCATTACCGCTCACATCTTAAGACTTACTTTATTCATAAAACCTTTCTCTTGCTTTCAACTTTTAAAAGAATTCTCTTTCAGTTACAGTTCACATCCAATAATATTTTGTATAGTTTTAGGTGTTCTTGATGTCTCACTTATAAATTCCAATACACTAATTTTCAATCCTGTGCATTTGGCATCTTCTAATTGAAAAATTACGAAAGGGAGAGAAAAGAATGTCTCAGACGAGCAATTCTCCTATGATTTTGCACGAGCAGAATGTTTAGAAATGTCATGTGATCCCATGAGCACGCCCACTGGTCTGCACAACTGCTGAGGTGCCAGCCAGGACCCAACCCCCTTACTGCTTGGTCACAAAGCACGTCATGAACAGGACGTTGGGGTTGAGAATAAAGTTCTAGGTAAAGAATTCTTGAATGGCTGGAGGTCTTCAGTGCTTCACTAATCAATAAGATAGGATGGCTGAAGTTGAAACACTTGTCTATTAAGTGTGATCAGAAAGTGCCGAAGTAGTTTTCAAGTGCTGTTCTCTCCATTCCTATTTCTAAGTGTGGTACAGAGGTGCCACCGTATTTGGTGACACCGCAGTAGGACCGATCCGGATCCGAAACTTCAGAGCAACAATCTCCATGCTACGTTTCTGCTCCGCTGGCTTCACCCCGGGAGGGGGGGCCCTCTGCTGTTTACTGCACTCATGTAAACAGAATGGAAAGCAGTTTGCAGTGTTTGACACCAGTCTTCCTGTGCATCTTCAGCGAAGTTCCACGTGCGCTGATGGGGGTCTGGAAACACCTGGCAACAGCCAGAGGCGTGGAGCAGGGTGTCACTTCACACAGAGAAGACGGACGGTCAAATGAGCCTTCAGCATCGGACCTCTCAAAGTTTTCACTCACACGTGGATTCTGACACTCTGCTGTGACCCATTTTGATGAATTGGAACAAAGCCTTCTTCACGTGCATGGCTTTGAAATCTACCTTTATGATGCCAGGAGTAGCCACAATAAAGCATTTCATTGGGCTCGCACGCCTCAAAGTGGGTCATGTGTATTCAGTGAGTGCTCACTCCGTCATGTCCCTGACTTAAACGCAGCTGCTGTCAGTGTGACACTTTAAAGTGAGAGATATTGTTTCTCTCTGCAGGTTTTATGGAGGAGAGGAGCGCACCAGATATATGACCGAATGTTGACAGCAGTTAATCTAGAAAATTCCACTCGCATTCCAAGCAAGACTTCAGATGAAAATCTTTTCGTGTCTCCTTTTACAACACGTTGTCCACTGGCTGTGCTGACTTCAGCTCTGCAGGTGACATGAATGTTTGATACCTGTCTTCCTTCCTGGAGCACACCCTCGAGGCTGGGACGCTGCAGTGACCCATTTAACAGGCCAGCCCTGGGCGGGCAGGCTCTGTCTTGACTCATGAGATGAACCCTTTCCAAGATATGTGAAATATGGATTTCAGCCAAGTTGCAGCACAGAGTATGTAAAATACCTGAACGTAAATCCATGTACCTTTTTTCCTCTAAAAATAAATGTTCACTGCTGCACGGGTACCCTACCCTTCCTTCTCTTAGCCAAAGGTCATATAGTCCATAAGACTAACAGAAACAGCCACTTGCACTTCAAGGTGTCATATGTTATGAAGACTTGGGCTTTTAAAAAGAATTATGTGTTTCAACTTCTCCCATAGTGCTCTAATGTATAAAGACTATTGTGTATTTGATTCATCCTACAGAATGCTGTGTTTGATTGATGTCTCCTTTGCAAGAAATTCATGATCAAAAATGCTAATCTGCTAATTACATAAATACCTATTATGGATTATGGTGGTGATACATGTCACTTTACCAGAGTTAGGAATTTGCCCTGGCTGGCGTAGGTCAGTGGATTGAGCGCAGGCCTGTGAACCAAACAACCTTGGTTCGATTCTCAATCAGGGCACATGCCTGGGTTGCAGGCCAGTTCCCAGCAGGGGACACATGAGAGGCAATACATTGATACTGTCTCTCTCTCTCTCCTTCCATTCCCCTCTAAAGATAAATAAATAAAATCTTTTAAAAAAGAGAGTTAGGAACTTATGTAATTGTGATTTTCGATATATTGATTTCTTCAGATGGACCCCACCCAATTCTGGATCTTGTACTCGGAGGGAAACCCATTTCCCACCTCTTATTTCACATAGGAGTGAGGAAGCAGGCTTCCCAGGATTCAGTGTTATCAAATTGCAGTTGGTTAGAGGCAGAGACAGAATTAACCCCCAAACAATCAGGCAATGTTCTGAGTGGTCACCTTGATTACATTTTTACAGTGAGAAGATACGGCTTACATACTTCCAGTGTATGCAACAACTATTCGTCTGCGGCTTTATAGCAGCCAGACGGGACAGCGGGCACAGACAAGGGAGAGAACAGACGTGTCAAAGTCTGCTGCAGCAGGGTGTTTGTGGGGTCCCTGGAAGAGGCACATACCCAGTTGGGACGATCAGGGTGATTCTTTTTTCTAGAAAACTTGACATGAGTTTAGTCCAGAAAAAATTGGTAGAAGTTTTCAAGGTAAATAAGTGGGGAGAGAAAGACCAAAGCTTACGAAAGAAAAGGTATTACGCCAAGAAACTAGCATGTTTACGGGCCCATGATGCATGGGGGGTGGGAAAGTAATTGCCTGCCTGTGCGGTGGCTGGCACCGGATGACAGAGGTCGAAGGGCGTGGGGGGCCCAGGGATGGCCTGAGATGCCAGGTGACAGAGTCCGAGATGGGTCCTGAGAGCAGCAGGTCTCACGGAAGAGCATCACTTGGCGAAGTGCCTCCCAAATCTGGCCTTTCCAAGGCCAACCTGGCTGACGTGAGGGGCGGGGACTGGCGGAGGCTGAGATGAGTCAGAGGCTGGTGAGGAAGCAAAGGAGTCCAGGGCATGGTGCTGCTGGGCAGGGATGGTGCCCCTCTGATTGAAGACGCTGGCGGTAGAGACGTTTGGACAAGTGGGGTTGGCTGGTCGATTACAGGTGGATGGAGACCGAGAGAGGTTTGCAACTTAGCTTGGAGGTTGATCATGGCATCATTCTCTGGGAGAGGCCCTGTGAGAGGAGAAGGATTGAGGGAGAAAGGAGATGGATTGAGGGAAAGCAGGGGGTGCTCAGCTGGGGGCACCTGGAGCTGGAGATGAGTGGGGTTTTGAGTAGAGACACCATGCAACAGCGGGGTGAGCAGGGCAGGGCGATCTGGGTCCCTTCAGCATATAGATGATAAACAACACCCAGTGAATAAGGAAGATTATCCTAAGGAGAATGTTTGGCGAGACAACTAAGGGGGCCAGGACGCACCATTAGAAAATTCCCATTAGACACATTTATTCGCCTAATGTTCATTCAGTGACTGCTCTGTTCGGGGCTGTGTACCATCTAAAGATGCAGCCCGCATGAAGTATGACAACAAGCCCTGCTCTCTGAACTAGCACTTGGGGGGCACGTAATAAATGAATAAGACAAGGAGGTTTTATGGCAAATAATAAGCTGTATAAACAAGAGAATGCAGAAGGGAAAGGAAAGGCACTGAGTGACTATTTAAGAACAGGCCTGAAGGAGGGGAGAGAAAGGATCATACTGATACATGGGGACAGTGTTTCAGCACGGAAAACAACTACTTGCAGGACAGTAGGAGACTTATTCTAGAAAGCGCAGGGCGCCGGTCTGGGTGGAAGGGTGTGACGAAGGAGCAGGAGAGGTAAAGCTGAGGAGTAACAGAAAGCCAGGGAGGGAGCGTCCTCACAGGCCATTAGAAGAACCTCGGACTGGCACTCTCTCAGTGAGCCCTGAAGGCACGAGAGGGTTCTCAAAGGAAGACTAACGTGATATGACTGATGTCCTAAATGCATTGCGCTAGCTGCCATGCTCAGAGTGAAGGCAGAGTAAGGACACAGGTGTCAGGACCAGTTAAAAGGCTACTGCCATCACCTGGGTGAAAAGACTGTGGCTTGCGCCGGGGTGGCAGTTCTGGAGATGCTGGAAAATGATGAGGCCCTGGATGTATTTTAAGGATCGGGCTAATGTGACCTTACCAATATTTTGAATGTAAAGTAAAAGAGAAAGAAGGGAAACTTGATGATTCTAAGGTTTTTGGTCTAAGCGTCTGGAAAGACAGAATAACTAGTTATTAAAAAGACTGTGGCCCTGGCCGGGGGGGCTCAGCAGATCAGAGCATCATCTTGTACACCAAAAGGTTGTGGGTTCGATCCTCGGTCAGGGCACCTACAGGAGTCGACTGATCAGTGTTTCTCTCTCACATCAGTGTTGCACCCTCTCTCCCCCTTCTCCCTAAAAATCAACAACATGCCCTCTGGTAAGGAATAGGAAAAAAGGACTGTGCTCTTAGAAGACGGTGCTCTTATTTCTTCTCAACCAAAGAAACAGTATGTTTGGAGACCGTGTTGGGGAAGAGAACGTGACCTGTGCGAGGCGGTAACACGAGACCAGTGCTGGAGCCTGGTGCAAGGGGCCGGGTTTTAGGTGAGGCGGGACACCACACAAGGGGCAGGTCAAGGACGGTCTGGCTGTGCCTGCTGCGTTGTAGAAGTCTGGTCTTCACCTGAAGACTTATGGGAAAGCCTCTGAACGGCTTTACGTGGGAGAGTCAAATGATCAGAGTTGCATTTTGTGCGAAGACCTCTAGGTCGGCCAATGAAGAGCGAGTTGAGGCAGCAGAAGAGTCGCTAGACTAGCCCAAGCAAGAGGCTCTGGACACTGACGTGTAGCACAGTGAAAGGGGAGACGGAGCGGGGAGACTCGGGAAGTAAAACGGAAAGGAGCCGGTGACGGTGACGGGCTGGGTGAGCAGGGGAGGAAGATGGACATGTTAAGAAATGACACATCTCTGGCTCGTGCGCCTGAAAAGCTGATGCAAGAGGAGGCACCGAAGAGGATCAGAACGGACGCGCCTGGGAGGGTTAAAATCGTGAATTTAGTCCTAAACTTGCAAATACGCAAGCAGAAATGTCAAAGAGGAAGCCGTGCAAATACGTGTGGAGTCACAGGGAAGATGTGGCTGAAGATACAACTTTTTGCGTTATCTGCCCATGTGAAGGCACACACGGGATGAGGTGCCACCCCTAGGAGAAAATGGAGCATGAAAACAGAACTGCATCCGGGCTCTCGAGGACACAGCAGAGATGCAGTTGGGACAGAGGGCTGTGTCATGGAAGTAAAGGCACACACGCGTTTCAAGAACCCAGGGGTCGCCAGCCATTTGAATGCATTTGACAGGTCACGTGTAAAAAGGACTGGAAACCAGTTATGAGGGCTAGGGTCCATGCAGGTTCTTGACGGCACTGGTGTGATTTGTGCCGGCGAAACCCAGATGGAAAAGTGAGGAAACACAGGGCTGCAAACCAGGCGGCTCTTCCGAGAAGCGTGTTCATGACCAGGAGACTGTGGTGCACTGGCCGGAGGGGGCTGTGAGACGGAAGGAAGGTCTGTAGTTCTTCTTGGAGGAATCCTAAATAGGTTTAAAAATCCAACGTGCAAAACCAGAAAGATTGAGCACATACGTGAAAACCGGGGTCATGAGTAAGCCCGCTGAAAGGGAAGGTGGGGCGACGTCTGGGACACAGCGGGAGCCGCTGGCCCCGGGAAGAGATGAGAACTGTGCCGCAGAGTGGAGAGCAGGGGGCATGGCTGCAGCGACAGCTACACTCACAGGTTTGCAGTAAGAAGAGGAGGGAGTTGATGGTCTGACAGCTGCTCCCTCGCCTGCCCCGTCTGACAGAATGACGTGCCCTACTGTTTGGCGGTTCCCCTTAGTGCTTGTACCCTCAGATGCCCAGCCTGTGGGATGGGCTTCATTAGCTGGGTGCCCTGAGATGCATCAAGGGCAGAATTTAGGCTACTAACAGCAGTTACTCTTGAAATGATGGGAAGAACAGCCCGAAGTGAACGAGGGAGAAGAAACCAAAGGCGCGACCAGGGGCGTGGTGGTCAGTTAGGACAGAGAACTCACCAGTGTTTTTGGTAACTGCAACTCGGACCCACAGCCCACTGACCAAGGGCACGAGTTATTATTCTTAAATAATAAGGCAACATATAATTTTCCTTAAAAAAGATTTGATCTATTTTTAGAGAGAGGGAAAGGAAAGGAGAGAGGGCACATCAGCGTGTGGTTGCCTCTCACGTGTCCCCCACTGGAGACCCGGCCTGCAGCCCAGACATATGCCCCGACTGGGAATCGAAATGGTGACCCCCTGGTTCCCAGGTTGGCACTCAATCCACTGAGCCTCACCAGCCAGAGCATAACATATAAAATTCTTGTCATGATTAAAAACTCACAAGAAGTTGCAAAAATAGTACCGTGAGGTCCCGTGTATCTTTCACCCAGTCTCTCCCCAGAGTCACATGCTGGTAACACCAGGGAGCGGACGTTGGGGCCCCTGCGTGTCCAGGTCTGTGCCGTTTGTCACAGGTGTAGGTTTTACACGCGCGCGACCACAATCAATATATTGAACTACTTTTCATCAGCTCGACTCTCTAGCTCCGGCTACCCCTTCCCTGTAGGGGTACCCCATCCCCTCCTCCTGGCAACCCCCAACCTGGGTGTTTTCCATCTCGGTCTGTTATGTAAACACAGCCACACAGTAGTGACCCTAAGGGACAGTTTCTTTTTCAACTAGCATAATGCTCTGAAACAAAAAAATGGCCCTGCACGTATCAGCAGTTTGTTCCTTTTACCGCGGCTTACTGCCCCGTGGTCTGAATGTACCTCAGTGTGTCTAACGGATCGACTTCTCAGAACCTTTCTGGTTGTTTCTGGTTTGGGGCCATTGAAAATGGAGCTGCTTTAAACCCTAGTGTCCAAGATCACTTGTGATTGTATATTTTTATTTTTTTCTGGGGTCAGTGCACAGGACTGCACTTTCTAAACCACATCACAAGCATCTATTAGGTTATTTAAGACACTGCTGCGCCTTTTTTTTTTTTTTTTTCACAGCAGCTGTAACGTATTGCTTTACATTCCTACCCACAAAGTGTGAGGGACCGTGGGCCTCCTTGCCCACGCCGGCCTCCAGGATTGCGGCTCTTTCTGATGTTAGTTCTCTAATGGGGGTGCGGGAAGAGCGCCACATTTTTCAGTGTGCATTTCAGCAAGTGCTTGTGGCTGTTTCGTGTCCAGTGAAAAGCAGAAGAACCGGAGCTTTGAGTCCCTACAATGCACCTTCTGCTCTTGTGGCGCGCCCGGCACACCCAGACGCGGGGTCCGGGCGCTCCTACCTTCATCCGTGACGGCTCGCCACTGAAGCACATGCTTTGGGGACGAGGCTCTGACACCAGAGGCCTGACATTGCCAGTCTCTGAATCCAGGCAGACCTGCAGGACAAGGCGGATTCTCACACACTTTGTACTGTTCTCTGGGACCATTACAGTCCCTTGCTTCAGAGCCTAGCCTAGAAAAGATAGTACAAATAATCAATTTTATCTTTTTTTAGGTTAACTACTCATTTTTTATTAAAAGGCATTAGAGTAATAACATATGCTTTTTTATATTAATATACTGTTCAAAATGTGGGCTTGTTAATAGTGACCGGTAATCGTAGGAAGCCCACGTTTATTATTTTTTTTAAACTACGCATTTTTCCCAACCTTTGAGCAGCTGAACTTCCAGAATACATATGAAATAAAAGCCAACTTGCCATGAAAATTAAAAAGAGTAACCGGCAGGGGTTGGGGCGAAACAGGAAGCCTATGGCTTCCAGGAGGGAGTTTGTGTGTAAGGGTTATTAAGAAGATTCTTCTAATGTTTTCACACAAACTCTGTAAAATTGCTGGAGAAGGAGTTGGGCCACTGAGCCCACGCCCTGAGTTGGAGCGTGAGGCTGACGTGACCCTGTCACACCCTGCCCGGGACCACCCTCGGGCTGACAGGGTGAAGCAGGAGGATCTTGCCGCGCTCCCTGCCTGGACCTGTGCTGAGCCCGCTTCTATTCCTCGTCTTTCTTAGCTTCTTCCGGCCCCGATTTTGTTCCCCTGCCTCCCTTTCTGCAGTCCTGTCCTCTTCCTGCTCCTTCAAATGCCGACTTACTCTTCCGAACAGGAGTCTCCCTGTTCACTCAACCCATTCTGCTGGCTTTAATCAAGAGTCTACTCTGTGCAGGGTTCAAGCATTTGTTCTTAAACGGCTTGGTCTCCTTCTTTTCCTTTGTTTTGTAAGTTTTATTTTCAGTGACATTGACATTGGACAACTCTCTGTATTAGTTTCAGATGGGCAGCGTAGTGGCTGGATAATCATGCACCTTTCAGAGTGGCCCCCCTGATATTTGCGGGCCCCACACCCGGGTGTTACAGCGTGACTGGCTGTATCCCCTCTGCTGCACTTCACGCCCCCCTGACTATTTTGTGATTTTACCAGTTTGCACCTCTTACCCCCTCCCCTTTATCGCCCAGCCCTCCTGGCTCCCCTCCTCTCTGGCCACCACCGGTCTGACCTCTGTATCTATTTCTGTTTGGTTTGTTTATTTTGCTCTTTAGATTCCACATATAAATGAGTTTATCTTTAAAGACAGCTTTTACAATATGTAAAATGAACAATTTGAGGGACTCGTCAGTTTCCCGAAGTGGAGTACGGCCCGAGGGGCATATTTTGCTTCCCGACATGGTTTATCAGTGAAATCTTTGAGTTTCAGAAGGGAAGAAGCAGCCGCCCTCCCCCGACCCAGGGGCCAGCGTTTACCCGGGACACGTGCGCTCTCGGCGGCTGATCCCGGCGCTGCAGGTGCGGCTGCAGGGGCTCCACACGCTCCACTCTCCGGCCACGTGTCCAGGTGCGGAGGTCCTGCTGGTACACTCGCCAGCCTTACACCACTATTCCAAAAGTTAGGTCTTAGGTGAACAAATCAGGGCACAGCAGAAAATCATTCACTGGCCTACAGAGTCATGGGAATTGCGATCACATTGGTTTCCTGGAGCCCTACCCCAAACACACCTAACTGAAAGAGACCACCGACCAGACGGCACTTGCTGTGGGAACACAATGGCCAGGTCCCCCCCCACCCTGTCTCCTGTCGGATCAAGTGGTCTCGTCATGAACATGGACCTCATGGAACCGCCCCGAGAGTTCAGTTCTTGTGACAGGGCTGGGGTGGGGGTGGGCGGGGGACTGCTCAGGCTGGGACAGGAGAGGAACACGCTCTAAAAACATAGCAATGGAAAGGTGACGAACCAAAAAGCAGAGACACACAGATTAAGAGCAGAAAATAAGACATCAGTGCCTTATAACTAGAGGGAAACAGAATTTTAGCAAATTTAGCCATTTTGATTTGAAATGTCAGGGATTCAGGCTACCATCTTTATAAATAAAAAAATAAGTATTATTTAATTTTAGCACTTTCCTTTATGCCTTCTCTCTCTCTTTTTCTGAAAGCGGTCCCATCAAAATCAAGCAAGATTTCTTCTGAACACTGTTTATTTGGAAAACGTGGGCAATTAGACTCTTTCAAATTTTGTCGCTTCTGCTTTTCTACAGCTTACTTTGTGCCCACTCACTAGGACAGGTAGCAGCGAGAGAGGAGGGGAGAGTGTGCCTCCTTTTTTTAATGTGGACTTTTCTTACGAGCTGGAAACCAAAGCAGGAAAAGAGGCGGTTTCTGCCATCGTGGAGGACTGGCTCGCTGACCTAGTAGGCAGCTCATAATAACATCTCCTTAGGGCCACGGTGAACGTGTTCAAGACGAAAATTAATTGAGCAAAATCATGTTGAGAACAGTAAGTAAAGATGAGGAGAAATTACATTCATGATTGTGCCATGACAGGGAATGGGCAGGCCGACCCTTCTCAGGCCCAGACAATTTTCTGCACCAAAGGGAAACATGATTTACGAGGAACTTTGGGAAAACACTCTGATCCTCAATTTTCCCATTTCAAAACGAGAAGGACAATCCAACTGATCCAATAGGCTCTTTGCAGGGGTTGAATGAAGGGCTAAGTGTGGTACACAGCCCATATGAAAGATTTAGTAAAGGTGAACTATAACAAAAATAAGTGAGATGCATTATTATATCAATGTTAGTAATGAGTTTCTAGATACATAACCAAAGTTTTATCCATTCTGATCTTCATCGATCTGTCTTTCTTTACAATTTCTTCTGAGAATATGCTCTTACATGCTATTTTTAGAAGAGAAAACTTAGAAACCACGCTCCGTAGTTTTGCTTGAGCCCAGACAATGCTTTTCTATGCAGTAAAGTAATTAGTTCCTACAGATTCTCTCTAGCATGCCAAATTTTAACTTTGACTTCTTTTAGAGTCAAGAAACTTGAAGTCTGGGCTTAAAAAATAACCCCCAGCAAGTTGGATATAGCGATATACGGTCTGTCATGAAACCATTGAGATTTCGTAGAAAGATTCAGTCTGGAAATTCCGAGAGAGGGTAAAAACAGACCCTCTGAAAACCTGCAAACACTTCACGGTTTTAAGGATTAAATGGTGGTATGCCATTCACGGGACGCATAACCCAAGGTGAAAGCTGCCAGACTTGGACTGGCCAACTTGTCCGGCCTACTCAAAAGGCGTTTGTTTTCCCAGCGTGAATGCCATAGCTCCCTGCCCGCTGAGCAGCAGGCTGGCGCACAAAGCTGGGCTAGAGGTGGCTGCTGACCACAGATGCTCTGGGCAAGACTGAAATCTAGGGCGCACACCAGGGCAACTGGAACGAGCCTGGCAGGTCGAGAGAAATGGAAGCAGATCTGCTGGCCAAACTTGCATACACCAATCAGTGAGGGCTAAATAAAAGGTAATCTACTACCTAGAGTTCACCACCTTGCAGAGAAGCCTCTCTCTGGAGGCAGCTGTGAGGACCTGCTTGTGTGTCTCCTCACTAGCCTTGTGCTTCAATACAGTGTTAAACGTTGTCTTTCAATGATTCTACAGCAAATTCTAATGAGTTTGAATGTAACACCATCCTGATGATATTTTCCATAAATTTTCCAGCAGTATCTTTTGTTCCATTTGGAGCTTTTAGCCTCAAAAAAAAGATGTTACGCCTGGTCTAAACCAGTCAAAATTTGTCCTCATCTTCTAATTGAGTTTGGTTTATGGAAATGTTGAGAGGCTATGTGTGAATACAGACTATTTCTGGGAGATACATGATCTAAAAAATTGGTCATATTTCTAGCCTCTCAAATTTCTATGCAGACATGTCTAGGAGGCTCATGAAAATGCCAAAGGAAACATTATGTTTTAATCAAACTTCCTTACACACAGCGTTGGAGAGGAGAAGAGAGTGAGGAAGACAGCAACAAACTCCGTACCTACGCGAACTTGTTACTGTGAGGATATTCCAGTCTTCGCTTTTTAAAATAAAGAGTGACAATGGTAATTTCAGGAATCTCAATTTAGGAAAATGAAAAACTAAACTATATGACACAGAATCCTTCAAAAACAGTCTAAAATTCTGGCAAATTGGTATAAACTTTCCTTTTCCCTCTCTCAATGCCCAGCAAACTCTGTAAGTTAAAAACCTATACTTGGTTTTTACCAAGTTGTCGATCCACTCTCTAACCTCTGTTCAATATAAATGCAAATGCAGATGATAGTGTTGCTTAAGAGTAGAGAAGAAAACAAGCGGCTTTTAATTTGAAACGTGCTGGGTGTAAATAGCATATAAATCCCTATACTCACAACCATTTTGAATCATAAAATTCTGCAGGCACTTTCTCAACTTCACTGTATGCCCATAGGCAAGCTAGTTACACAGCTCGATCAACATCGCCAGAGTGTGCTCAGAGTGAGATCCCCAGCTTTCTTTCTGGGCTAGCAACATAGGGAGCTAGCAGCGTTCAGGGCAAGGTTGCAAGCAATTCAAACGCTTTAGCACTGCGGTGCCCCACTGCAGGGAGTGGGGAGCTATTTCCTCGCTGACTCCTACAACAGCTGCAGCAGATGGACAAGTGAGGAGGCCCATGTGGCCTGAGGAACCGAGAAGTTCGCTAGTTATTTCGATGTGCAGAGCAGTACAGCCACGCCACTAACAGAAGGTCATTAGTGCAAGTACAGGGAAATAAAACATTTTACTTTGAGTGAGTTTAGAGGCCTGGAGCATGCAAATTATTCTCCTAAATATCAGAAGAAAAACAATAGCAGAAAACTATTTAGGCACAGGTCATAAAAAGACAGAGCTTTTATATTGCTCAAGAATTGCTAAGGAGAGCGGGCCGTGTGATATTCGACGAAATGGGGCAAAGTGTTTGGGTGCCTTCGTTGAGGCGTGCTTTCGTGTTTCAGGGGCGACATGCAGTTTGGTGATTCAAGCAATACATTGTCAGCACTACCCTGTCAGGCTTGTCCAACACACACACACACACACACACACACACACACACACACACACACACACACATTATCCTACTTTTGTGCAGAATTTAAAAAATGAAACAAATCCAAATTCTGACTTTCCATGGAAGCTCCGAGAAAACCTTAGGCGCCATGTGTGGGCAATTGACGGTATCGCCCGGAAGCTCCCTTCTAAGGAGCCGTTTTCTTACTGGGAGTATCCAGTGGTATGACGTTTCTACTTCTTTTAAAAGATATTTTGGACTTAACAGTTTGTACAGTTTTTCTGTTTTTAAATAAAGAAATCACAGAAGCAGCCAATGAGTGCAGACTTAGAGCAAACAGTCCAGAAACGCCTGGAGAAAAGCCACACCCACCCTCACCTCCTGTGGCTCTGCTCCCATCCATCAGTTCCAGCTACCTCCGGGGAGCTGACTACTGCTGACGGTCTGGAGTTTCGGTTTCCAAGCCATTTCATAGACATTTAAATATAGACACTTTGTAATGTGCATTCAAATCTGGATACACGTTGTTTTTCCTTAACTCTCAAATGATAGCCTAAAGCACCGGCTTTTCTGACCTGACCCTCCCAGGTGCCCCCCACCTGGCCTTGCAGACCCCTCCGCCCTCCCAACACCTGCACCGCGGGGGCTGTTCTGCTGAGGAATATGCCTGCGGCTCCCCATCTCTCACCATCGCAAACTGCATTTACATAACCACCCTGTGCATGTGTGTGCACGTGTGTGTACACACCTGCGCGCATACCTGTCTTGGCACACACGTGTATTTCCTTAGGACAAAATTCTAGAAGTAGAATTGCTAGATTTCCACTCTGTCGATTTTTCAAGTTAATATGTTTTTAAGTTGGCACTTTTTTCCCACTAAGTGTCCATCCTAAGTACTCTTTATGCTGCTGTTTCTTTTCAAGTGTGATAAGAATCCACATTCTTCATAAAGGGGGAAAAAGGGGAGGGATTTGGAAGAACAAATAGGAAGGACACAGGGACAAGAACTAAGGGGGGCGGAAATGGGAGGGAGGTGGGGAGCAAGGGGTGGGGGGGGCTGGGATGGGAAAAATAGACAAAAAACTGTACTTGAAAAATAACTAAATAAAATTATTTAAAAAAAAAGAATCTACGTTCTTCAGAGGCAAGGTTTCTGGTCTTTCATCCAGAATAAAGTGATCACCACTCCACTTTCCCTTAGTAGAATAAACATTTTTAAACTATGGAAGCTACTGAACTGTTATCTTTTGATTAAATTTACCACAACTATATGTTTATATGGAATCTACCTCCTTTGTTTTCCTCAAAAGAAGATTAAATGTTCAACAGCAATTATTTTGATTTGGAAATACATACTAATAAACTCCTATAGCCTTATAAAACATGTTAAACAACTTATACAGTCAAATATTTACTAATCTCCAAAATGTCACTTAGAATATTTTCTTTTTGATGGTTGAAATGACAAAGAAAAATTATACTCAGTGGCTCTCCTGAGACAATATTTTACACCTGAAAGTCTTTATTGTTCTGAGAAGTTTTCTTATGTATTCTATTATTTTGTGATTATTTTACTGTTTGATTTAAATAGTAAAAAAATATGAATCCTTTTGTTCGCAAGGTAGTACATATATCTGACCCTCGACATTCTCACAATCAACAAAAAAATAATTGCACCAATATTAACAAAATAACCATGGATTTAAAAACTGTAAGAGTTAAAAATATCAGAGATAAAATGCCGAAAATGTTATATACATACTGAAAGGATTCCGCTAGTGTTGAGATGGACACAGGTGTGGCCGGCAGGAGGCACTGCAGGTTTCTTGAGTCGCACTCAATGTCCCGATCACCTCGGGCCCCACGAGCGACCTACCTTTCCAGCATCACAGTCGGTCCCGTCCATCGGGGGGTCGAGTTTGGTTCTGCACTCCTTCTCCCCTTCCAGCTTGCACCACAAGCCTGTGCAAATCACATGCTGAAAACAAGGGCATCACAACTAATAAGGGGAATGAATCCCGTTTTTTGAGGCTAAATCAATCATGTTTGAGAAAGTCAGTTCAATGGAATAGAAGTTATCTGGAAAAAAAATAGCTGTTAGGGACTTTTAATGTTGAACTTGAAATAGTACATGGCTTATTTATAGTGCTGAGAAGATTGATACACATACCAGAAATCTGTTTAATAAGTTCAAATATTTCGAAGTGTCTTGTAATGAAACACAAGTGACTGAGCAACATTAAGTAGCTACAGCAGAAAAAGTGTGGACTCAAAATCGTTACTTATTTTTGTGGATCGTGCAAAAATCATTCCACAAAGCAGGTCCGAGGAGGTGGGGGCAGGTGTTCGTGGCATAGACGGAGTGCCTCTGTCCTAGAGCCTGTCCCCACTGAGCTCTGCTTTACACCCGAAGGCCACAGCAACTCACTCTCATTGGACAGCCTTCGCCCGAGACCCAGCGCAGAGCCTCCCAGGGCGTCATTTACCCCGGAAGGGATGCGTTCTAGACCTCCAGGATACAAGGAACTTTTTCTAGGGGAAACTTGAAAGGAATAAAAAAGATACTGGGGTAAAGCAGCAGAGACCCAGAAACCGTGAAGGAGGGGACCCCAAAGGAAAAGGGGGGGGGGGGGGGGGGGAAGATGCTCAGAAACCTGAGGCACAGGCAGCGCTGTGGCCACCCAGGGGCGTGGACGTCCACAGCCACAGCTGGCACGCTCTTTGGGGCTCTCTCTTTCTCTAAGATGGTTGACGGTTTTCGACATGAGCATATTATCTGCAAATTGCATAGACATATGAAACCGGCGAGGAACATTTAAAGGGGATGAAAGAAATCTACAGTGAATATCACTGTGTTGCAACCTGTCCAGATATTTGGCGGGGAGGGCGCAAGCGAACAGGCCCATGGAAGCACAAGAAGTCAGTGGCCGCGTGGAAGGCGAGGGAGTCCTGACCAGGGTTTCAGAGGCGGAAGAACCTAGGGTCAAATGCCAGGAAGGACTGGGGTCTCTGTGTTTGGAGTGAGAAAGAAGCCCTCTGCAGCTCACCCGTAGGTTGGTGAGATAAAACGGCTATTTCAGGAGGTCTACTCGGGCGGTGGTGTTCAAAACAGACTAAAATCCATGGCAAACTGACATGACTCAAATCTATGAAATACTTTGGGAAAGGTATATTTAAGTGAATGTTTTAAACAGGTCTGTTGCAATGCTAACAATGAATTTGTCACAGCTCCCAAAATATTATTTTCCTATTGCTCCTGTTTAAATATTTAGGTTTCTGAAATGTTTGTAGGCTCTTAAAAATCCAACCATTTATGCAAGGGTGGGGCATATTTTATTTATGTTGTATACCCTGCTATGACAGGTCATTTTCTCCTTCAAAATACTTCATACAAGTGTATCTTGTTATATTTAGGGTATGAGCTTATTTTGTAACTTTTCTTTGCATATATCATTAATGAAGACTTCATTCAAGAACTTATTGTTTTAAAAAGTCCCTGACTGTAATTGCTCCTATACAATATTTTAGACTCTTAAAAACAGAGAGGTAAACTGTTTAATTTACTTTCATGGACACATTTCTATAGGAATTAACAGATCTCTAACCTGAAAATTTTAACGCCTGCAAGTATTTATTTATTTACTTATTTTTTCCTGCTAAGGATGTTTTACAATCATGGGGTCAAATGCCAAGTTTTCTGCCAAGGAAGAACGTTGCTTTACTTATACTCGATAAAGGTTGCTTGTGTAAAAACATGAATTATTTTCATCAAGTTGGTTAGTAGATCAATGCACAGTGAAGTAAAAAGCCAGCCTTTGGCGCCACAGCGCTGGGACCCACTGGCCTGGTGTGCACTGTTGGTGGTCTGAATTCCACCCCCCTCCGTCGTCTGCTGTTCAAATAGCAGGTGCTCTCGTGGACTTCCCGGCCAGGCGCTGATAGCACAGAAGCTCTCTTGGCCAAGGTTCAAGGTCAGCACAGTCCCTCGGGACAAGCCTCCCAGAGGCAGTCTCTTCCCCCTTTCCTGCTGCAGGTCTAGGGGTCTGTGGTGAGGAAGCCGCAGCCACACTCCTGAAAAGAACTCAGATCCAGAAGTTCGGACCAGACTGTCTAAACAAAAGCAGGAAAACGCTGAAGAAGTGGCGTGGGCCGTGTGTACCTTCAGGGGAACCTCCCGGGTGTGTGCTCCTGGAACCGCGTGACCCCGAGCCCTTTTGTAAGAGAAGGAGGAGCAGGGATGGGTGTTTTGTTAGAACCACACACTCCGTATGTTATGGGAGTTGGATTGAGTTTCTTCAACTTAATTGCTGAAGCTACTTACCATGTCAATTAAGAAAAGAACTTTCAGACTTAAAATGCTTTGTGTAGGAATCCGGAACAGAAACGCACAACTCAGCATTTCCTTGCAAACGGGTCGAAGTAGTGCAATACCCCTTTTTCCTTCTTCTCTAGTAAGAGAAGACCATGAAACTCATAAAATGAAATTAGATGTTTATCTCAAGTAGGCATTTAAATATTTACATGGCAATACTATATTTTTAAAAATCACATAATTTAAATGGAAGATTTAAGTTCATGGAAAACTATCCCAAAATTTATCTTCAAAGAAACCTGTACTCATGTGTTTCTTTACAGCAAATAGTCCCATTAAGATGCTCTGAAATTTATGTTAAAATTAAAAACTTAAGTGCATGTACCTGGAAGCAACAATTAAATCCTGAACATGAAACTCTTTGTTCTTCTATATATTTCCCTCCAAAATACAATTTCAATAACTTAAACATTTGATTGCAAATGTAATTCGGTATGAAATGATATTTTCAAAACCTGTCTTTTCCATCACAAATCAGCTAAGTATCATTAAGAATGGAAAAGAGGAAGAAAGAAAGAGAGGTATTTTTAAAATAGGAAAGAAAGAACAAAAAGAAATAACAAAAAGTTGAAATCTAGTTCCCCGTGAATACTAATAAAATTGAAAATTAGTAAGAAAAAAGAGAAGGCAAAATAAACACTATTAGAAATAAAACATGAAGATATAATTACAGGTAATGCAAAGTTTAAACAGAAATAGGAAGGTTATAAACTTTATGACAATAAACTTGACAACTTATATAAAAATGGAATGTTTTTAAAAACTTACTAAAACTTTCTAACATGGTCCCAAGAAGCAACAGAGAAGCTGAACTGTTTTGTAACCACAAGATAGTTAAAATTAAAATTGATTGTTAAAAATCTTTCTGCACCTGGTCCAAAAACTAACAATCTTTCAAGAACTTTGTTCTCAGTCTACATAGACTCTCTAGAGAACAGAAAAAGAGGGACACTTCTAAACACACTTGATGATACCCTAACCAGACAGGGATTGTAACAGAAAGTAAAAATAGTTGTCTACCTCAGTAATAACGTAGAGTTAAATATGCTAAACAAAGCAGTAGCTAGGCAGTGGGTCTCATAAATACACTAAACAAGTTTTAACAGAGTGAATCCAGCAATAAGTTGGCTTTTTCCTTGAATACCGTGATGTTAGGGATTTGATTAATGTGATGAAGCACGTCACTAACTTCAAAATCTGTAATTCTTATATCTCTGGGTACAAAACATGTGATACAATTCAACAGCCACCAAAACACTTATTTAAAAAGAAAAATCTCAGCAAACTAGCCACTGAAGGAAACGTTTTTGTAATTAGCAAACATTTATAAAAATCTACAGCAAACATCATCAAAAACAGTGAAAATGTTGAAAGTGTTTTTTTGTTTTTTTTTTAAGATTAGGAAAAGGACAAAGATGGCATCTCGGCAACAACATAGGGAAGTGAATACATAACATTCAAAATGTCAAGAGAAGAACTAAGTGTCCTTCTAGACTCTTGCACTTAGCTAAAGTTTTATTCAACACTAAAGGTTAGACAGAGACTCATGGAAGCAAACCCTGAGCGCCTGTCGCCCACAGACCTGTCCAAAGGGTCTCAGAATGATGAGCTTCGAGGGGAAACATGATCTAATAGGAAGGGGCCGGAAAGCAGTGCAGGGCAAGGAGATTGATACACATGAGGATAAATCTGAAAGAGCATTGACTACAGAAAGCAGCAATCATTGGGTTTTAGCCATTCTTATAAACCTTCTTCTTAATATAGTGACGACAGAAATCCAGCTCATTCACATCTCCAAACTTTACCCCTTAATGGAGAGGATTTGGCTACTAATAGTTGAATAAGTTTGTGTCTTCCCTTTCACCGTACAGCTCCACACACTTCGAGTCTGCGCACGGCAGAAGTTGATAGACGTGGGAAGAAAATTAGTCTACGCCTCGCAAAGGAGCTAACATGCTGCAAGGGACTCCCCCTTAGAACACATCGGAAAGTGGTAAAGAAAGTTGGGGAGTAAGAGGAAAGTTAGAGAGAGGCGAACTGTCACTACCTAGTTAAGGAAGCCCCCCAAAAAAGAATGAGAAGTGGGAAGAAACCATTTAAATTATTTGAAAGAAAAATGATCCAGAACTCCTTAGTATAAAGGATATAAGATAAAAAGATTCTGGCATGGCCAAGTGGCTTAGTTGGTTGGAGCATCATCCTGTACAACAAAAGTCTGCAGGTTCAATTCCTGGTCAGAGCACATATCTAGGTTGTGGGTTCAATCCTTGGTCAGGGTGTGTGTGAGAGGTAACTGATTGATGTTTCTCTCTCACATCAACATTCTCTCCCCTCCCCTCCCCTCCCCTCCCCTCCCCTCCCCTCCCCTCCCCTCCCCTCCCCTCCCCTCCCCTCCCCTCCCCTCCCCTCCCCTCCCCTCCCCTCCTCTCCTCTCCTCTCCTCTCCTCTCTCTCCCCAAATCAATAAACACATCCTCAGGTGAAGATTAAAGATAAAAGTTTCCCCTTCTGGAACGAGGGAGTAAATTCCTAGAGGACCAACCCTTCTGTATGTAACAATCATAAATTGAGGACAGGATACAAAAAGCAACTTCCCGGTGGTTCTGG